CTCTTTAAATTTAAAAGTGCAGTTGAGAATAACCTTTGTCTTAATATAATTTTTTTATCATTCATTGAACTGAACATGGATACCTTTCCTTAAAATTAATTCTGAATATGACGATTTGAGTTTTTTTTACCAGTTTCTTAATTTCAACTGGTATCGATGCTTATTTTTTCCTCGCTTCACAGGATGTTAGTACGATGAGAAATTTTTGCTAGAGAGTCGCTTGGCAAAAGAAGTACGGGTTTTTCAAAGAAAGGTTTATTCAGAGGCAAAATCCTCTTCTCCTTCTAACAGATTGCACCATTAGTGGTTTGGCTGGCGATAAAACATTTCCAAACCTTCCGATCTGAAGCCACACCTGAAGTTGATTGAAACCAACCTGTTTTGATCTTAAGCCGCTGATCCTGCATTCTGTTATCATTTTTTGCACTATTTCTGGAACTCTTTGGAAATTTCAACGAGCAGCACTCTAAAGTTTTTGCCTTTGAATTTAAAAATGAAGAACAAAAATTAGAAAAAAATTTTAATGAAACTTTTGTCTTTTTTTCTTCTTGTCAGTCTCTTTTAGTTTCTTTCCTTTTGCCTTTGACAGGGATTAACCCGCCATATTTTCAAAAATGCGAGTGACTTCTGGAGTCCCATCTTTATCTCTAAGTAAGTCATTGGCGAAAATATGTAATTAACAGGTGTCAGCTTATTCCAATACGCATGTCATCTTTTATCCCAGTGGTACATACGATAAATATGCGAACCAGGTCTGAAGAAGACCTAAGAAGGCTATTGTACAAATGTCACACAGATCTGTATATATGTAACTGTGATGAGTTCTTGCTGCTGAGAATGAAGGTTATGAATGTAGGAAGTCAAGCGACAAATATCCACATTTTATCCAGATACTTTGTGGATATCGCTCGCATTTCGGAGCTCGGTCTTCCAAATTCTGGATTTTAAAGATAACTTTCATTGCATAGAATCCTATTAAGAACAGGACGGCTATGCACTACACGCTTTAAGAGCAAGTTCTATAATATTTTGGTCTTCGATGTATATATATATATATATATATAATCCTATGTTATGATCTGGACAAAAACAAATTAATCACTAAATGCCATTTCTCCATAAAGAGGACGAAATCGCGGTTGCATTCAAGAGATTGGAATGTGCACATAGGACAAGGCATGGTCGTATCATCATTATATAATGATTGGCAAGTACGGTGTTGAGACTTGATGTGCTTGCGGAAAACATTTGCACTTTGCTGAGGAGCATGGTCCTTTTGTCAGAAACATCTTTTAGATCGAAGGAAACATTTAGTTGCATGCTGATACTCGTCAGATAACCAATATTCAAATCAGTCTGCACTAGGCAATATAAAAGAATGAAAAATGGTAGTCAGTGTCGGACATATTATGGTTGGAACGAAGATTCAGACGAAAAGGTGTGGAAACTACTGCCTCCATGATTTGGTTATGTAAAGTTGAAAGATCCAGAGAGAATGGACGTATCCCAAGATATCGAAAAACCTCTACGACTGAAACTTCAGCGACACCTTTCGAATAGCCGATAAGTACTAGTCTAAGTCGAAGACTTGTCTCCAAAAATATGTCAAATCCGTCTTAGGAAAAGCAGTTCGAAAATGGGCAAGTTTTTTCTAATAAAACAATCCAACTGTCCAAGCAAGCCACCAGAATGCATGTCAAGAGACATTGGTATCATCTCCTCGGCCAAATAGCCAACAAGGTAAAGTAAAAATCAGTACAATACTGGATAATGTTCTAAATATGGAGTTTGAATAAGCGATAATCGAAGACTGCTTCTCCTATTCCGTACAACTATCGTAACTCGACAGCTTAAGAGATAAATGAAACGATCCGAGATAAAGGAACGAATCTTGTAAAGAATATCAGATATTATCTCTCCCAATTTCTTTGACGATAAATTTAATCACTATTGTCCATCTATGCTGGAGTAATTTTGGAGGCCTCCAAACTGCAAATTACTCCTAATCGAGATTTGTGCGGTTCAGAAACTTAAGGCCAATAAAACTCATGCTGAAGATGAGAGCTGCTTCAAATACGTCGGCTGTCTTTCACAATTTTTCTGCAAAAGTTCTGCTCACTAATGGGAAATAACGATGGAGAACCATATAACCAGAATGATGACATGTTCCCAATCTTAAAGAAAGATAAAAGGACGCATATATGATCAACTTGCTGGATATATCTAGAAAAATTTCTGCAGCAAGCTGGATTCAGACTAAGACGTGGTTGACTAAGGCTGATCAGATCTTCATATTTAGAAAAGTATGATCGCGTGAAACATCGCAATTCCTACGTGTTTTATTGACTTTACTGCTATTTGTGATTCTGTCAATAGGATGGCTATCTGATAGTCCATGGAGCATGATTGTTCCAAATCGGATTTATTAAAGCGTTTTATCTGCGTAGTTTGATGATATTTACATAATTATATGAAATTCTACAGAGGTTTCATTAGATAGAAAAAACGCTGGGCTGAAATTTTATCCTTTGCCTGACTAGTGGTATAAGAGTGGATCGCATATATTTAAAATCCCACACTTCTTGAAAAATTTATATAGCTTGGTATTTTATCAGCATATCCGGTCTCTTATCCGGTATTTAAGATGAAAAGAGTTTCGTCTTATTTACCAAATGAAGGCCAATGTTCGCTGTCGATATCTTTTCTAATATTTATTGTAATTCTGCGCAACATAACCCAGTCTATCACATAGAATTAGAGGGAGAAGGAGACAGCTTTACGGACTCCAATTCGTAAATTAAGGAGTTGTGCCAATTCACAATATGCTGACATTCTGATCTTATTGCATAGGATTCATTTTTTAAATGGATTTAACTAATGCGATAAAAGTTGCACTGTAGATTATATTGCCCTTTTCACTTTTCTACACTCTCTTCAACCCATGAGTAACGCTTCCTTAAGCTAAACCTTGCTTATGCCATCTCAGCATCCCATCACTCGTACATATCTCGTTGTCTTTTCCTGCTACACCACATTAACACGCTCTTAAACTCGCTATACTCCGTTAAGGTCTTCAAAAACTCCTTTGTATCCCCTTGCAACCATACTAAAACCGTGCTTCATTTTATTATTACCATCTAAAAACCCATTAAAATTCTTTTGACACTACGTACCCTTATAACTTTTTAACAAAACCTAAACCTCCTCCTTTATTTATGCTCTTTTCGTATGAAATAATACACTTGCAGTGCACTAACATTCACCTAACATATGTAATTTAGTTTCAATAAATTTTTATTAAATGAAATTTCATACATTTAGTCTCTCCTTTCTTAATTTTTTTTATATGGTTTTGTTCCTTCTTAGTCATTCAGGTTTGATTTGGTTTTGTCGATTATAATATGTTTAATTCGCTATGTTAATGTGTGTGTGTGAATACCATGGAAAAAAATTCATCTTTATCCTGCAGAATCTGCCACATTTTGTGAATTTTCTTCCAAATTCAGCTAAATATCCTCTTATTGCCTTCCGAAATCCTGTCATTCCTCTTTAAAACCACATTCACCTCTATTATCCTCTTTTGCTTTAATCTTTTTGGCAAAATCTAAGATCCATATAATCAACTTTCAAACTATGCTGTCTTCCTATCAACTCGGAACCTATTTTGCTTCTCAACATCGAAATTTCGCTACGGTCTTATCGCATTGTGCTTTTTTTTTATCATAGTCGATTTATTACATTTAAACATCCACATATCATCCTAATAACTTATAGCCATTACAGTCCCTTGATAAAGGGATAGGGATAGGATGGCTTGGTGGGTTGTTACTCAATTAGGAGCGCCAATACTAAGCTTCTGTTCCCAGCAGGAGTAAACCTGTCCAAAAATCCGGGTGATGCTGGCGATTCACCTGAATTTCTATCGCCAAGGGACTCTCTGGCATATTTGTCCAATGCGACAAGCCAGCGGAGCGAGTTTAACCAGTAAAACTCTTTAAAAAAAAATCCCTTAGAATCTTTTACAACCCTGCACACCTCCAAAATCTTCTTAATTATCTTCCTGAACCCCGTCAAACCATATTATTTTAAAAGCAGATGGTAACATTTCCTTAAAATCCTTTGAATTTAATTCTGACTCGCTGTCCCAAAATACCACCAAACGTTGTGGTGCTTTTTGGCAAATATTCCATTAAAAGACGTTATACTGTCTGTGAAACCATGATCCTCTATGTTAAAATCTCTGAATATTCCTAGAAATGTGTAATATTTTGTGAAAACATGGTGAAATTAGCCGATGTTCTTCTTACTCAGCAGTGTCTTCTAATTCTGGTTTACTTCTTACACTTCATTATATTTGTTTAACATCGCTTAGAATACCGTTTCACCATTTCATCCCAGCTTAGTCTCCACTATTCTCACTTAACACATAATACCAGTTATAGTTATAACCAGTTATATATTTATATTTAATACCATCAATTCCCATCATATTCCTTTCTGCTGCCTTTCCCCTTTCCTTAAAGTGGTCATAAAGTGTTCATTGTGTGGTCATTCTATGGAGGGCCAGAAATCATCAAAACCTAAAATGAGGCAGTAAGGAAAGAATTAAGCATTAAAAACAAAACAGACAAAAGTGAGGTCAAAAATGTTACAAGAAAGACCTTCGTTTACAAGGGTCAGCATAAGCCACTGCAATCGAAGTACTATACGATTTACATAAAATGTTTGCAATCGATAAAACTGATATCAAATTTACAGCATAAAGGAATAAAAAAAAATTGGGGAAAGTAACGACAAGAAATGTTCGCCAAGTGTTCGCAATAGAGCTTTAAGATTAACTCATGAGAGAAAATAGGGTTTGATCGATGTTATGGCAAGTCTCCTTATGTTAAGAGAAATATATAGATCTTTATCAGGGCCTTATCAGGGCTAAAATAAAGTTTGAAGAGTGTGCTAAGGGAATGGTACGAATATTGTCGCAGCGTAACAAGTTTATAGGAATGTTAATGAGAGCTGCAAGAAAGGATACAATGCTCTTTGACTGTGTATGGAGGGGTTTGTGACGGTACCTGGGAAATTAAGGTTTTATAAAAAAATTAAACGATGGATTATGGCAAAATGTAGAGAATTTTGACTAGAGGTGTTAAGGGAATAATTAACGAGGTGTGACGGAGGAGGTTTCGATGTTTTTCGAAGAGTGTTGAGCCAATAAAGACCGGCCGAAATTCCTCGACCTCAAATCTAAGCATCCTAAAATCTTTGCAAATTGTTATTGTATACAAGCAAGTGAGTAAAAGCTGTCTACGAAGGATATTTATCACTGGCATTCTTTTCTCGTATTCGGGCTTTGAGATAATTTTTGTGCTGTAAAAAAATATGTATAAACGATAAAAAACAATGGATGCACAGACAAACACAGATCGTTTAAATTAGCTTTCGTTGATCAAATTAATAATTAATCCATTTCCAGTTATGGCTTCGTTATTTCCAATTTTTCATTTCGATAGAATTCATCAAAATGATAATAAAATAAAATGATAAAATAATAAAATATTATTTTATATAAATTTTATACAAATATTAATATTTGCTTTTCTTAAAGGTCAAATGCAATCAGATGGCGTTGGAACGAATTGCGGTTCCATCCAGACGACAGTGGTCGCACCAAAAGGTGTTTTTTCAAAGAAAGAAATTTACTCGTTTAAATATTTTCGTCTGAACGATATCCACGACGAATTGCGCTATTGTGATAAGTGAGAAGTAAGCAACTGGTTGGAGCTCAGTGTTTCTGCTTAGGCTCGTTTGCTAAAGAAAATTAGAAGTTTTCGGAGAAATAGGAGCCATTTGGCGATAGAAGTGTGTAAGTTGTAAGCCAGCTGGTTCGCTAGCATCGCTCGGGCGATATGGAATACGAAATGAACTTTCGCTTCTCAACGCCATTATATGAACCATTATCAATTCTTATTTTGCCTCAAAAAATGCGTTTTTCCGGTTGACGAAACCTTTATGGTGCCGTCGTGAAATCACCATAAAAACGAAAGTCCGCATCTATATAGCCGTTCGATCTTGCTATATGGTTCTGAGACATGGCCAATGAGAGTGGAGGATATTAAGAAGTTATCTGCCTTAGACCACTCATTTCTAATATACATTTTACGAGTCCGTTGAGAGGATAAAATATCACATGATCACATCCACCTTCGCTTATATAATACTTGCATAAATAATGTTATCGCAGAGCGTCGCCTTCGCTGGTTAGGGCATGTTCTCCGTCGTCCATCATAGGAATTGATACATATTTCGTTACTTGCTAAACCGTGTGATGGGTGGTGTCAAAAACGATGGGCCAATTAAGACCTGGATTGATACGATCAAAAAAGATTTTGAACGTGTAGGTGGACCAGCAATATATAGATTTAGACGATGGAAAAAGAAATGGCTTCCATTACTATCGACGATATCATCAGACCGCTCCGCTTGGAAGCGTCTTACCCTTGTAACTGTTGGAGCCAACCTAAGCAGTAATGGTGAGAGCTGCTAGAAGAAGAAATTTTGCCTCAAGCTGCGGTACTGTTCTGCATCGGTTATATTCTATTTTTTCTTGGATTTCTTCGTCAAAATCAAAACAGTTCTGCCTAATGAGGCGAACAAATAAAAAAAAATGGCTGGAATTTTTCATGGAAAAATTCAATTTTCGAAGCAGTTATTTTCAAGTATAACATTTATGTGAACGTGCTTTTCTATGAATTATTAAGTGTGAGCTGTTGTAAAATATTTCGGATAAATAATCATTCCTACTACGACTATTTTATTCAACAAATTCTATCAAAAAACATTTACCTATTAGTTTTTGAAAGGAGGTATGGCGGTTAGAAGATCGCTTGGTGTTGAGTTTGGAAAAAGTCGTCGTGCTGTTTTTGCTTCTATTGATAAGCCATTCCCTTGTTAATCGCGCTAGCAGCCAACAGAGCGCGCTTTACGATAAATGGTGATAATACTTACTGGTTTTTGAAATGAATCTATTTGACAAATTTGGCGTTAAAAAACGGGAATCTTATTTATCATTTTGCATTACAAAATTATATATTATTATTTTATTATTTATTATATTACTATTATTTTCAGCATGTAATAACCAAAATCGAAATGAATTTATGCACGAAGCGTTAAGAATAACAGATTCAGCAAATCCAAGCGATACAAATGGCCGAGTAATGAACCTTGTTTTTCGGATTATTTTTTTATTATAAAAATTTTTCAGTAAATTATTTAGTTTTTCAGTTAATCGTATAAAATTGAAAAATTTTTTCAGAATTCGCTTTTAACCAACTATAATGCAACGGATTTAGCGTCACATTATGGCGATCAATTTTTTGATAACATTGGTTAGTTTCTCTCAGATTTGCCGAGGTTTTTTTCTTTTTTAAATTTGTCTCTTAACAATTGCACGGTTCGAGTACAATATAACGGAGGTTCTGCTATTCTAAATATTAAATCCTCTTCTTTGTTGCCACATCCGATTAGTAACGTTGCTTTGAGCCTTTCTATGCAATTTTAACTTTCCTAGGCACCCTTATAATTCTTGAGTTCTTTTGAAACTGTAGTATAGCCTCCCGATGTTAAATATCTCAAACATCATTACATTATATAAACTCCGCCAGAGACCACTACGGTCTCCCAACATCGTTGCAGCCTTTGCTTACAGTGCACCAATGCCATGTAAAAACCCGTTCCATTACTTGCGAATTCTCGGATATCAGTGAAGATATCAATGAATATGCCGTGCTTTGCTTATCCATAGGATTGGTCTTTCTACTAATGATAAAATTTCAGTCTGCGTAACTTTATTTTATTTATTTTGTTTTTTCTCGCTTTTTCTTAATTTTTATCGATTAGAAATCTAAAAAATTTTTTCTCTTTGACTAAAGAAATTAAAATAAACTTGTTCCTCTTTTAACTGAGCAAGGAAACCAAACCATTCGGATTTCCGAATTTATTGACGACTATTCCGAATAGCTTTGCTGATATCTGCTGATTTCGCACTCTTTTTTTTCCTTCCTAGGAATGAAATATTTGCGTTTTGATAAAAAGTTTTATTGAATGTCGCATTACTTTTAAGACGACATAACAACAGAACGAACTTTGGCAGCATTTACAAGCACAATATTGAATACTTCGAATTTCTCTTTTATCGACTGTGCTGACTGTGGAACACAGAAATTGAATTTGGAAGATTTAGAGGCAAATTTTCTTACTGATCCGAATAAAAATTTTTAAAATACTTTTTTTTCTACGTATTTACTTATTTATTATTTTTACTTACAGTTAGACCTAGTGCCTACAATGTATGTTTCGTACTCCATACTCTTTGCTCTTAATTACTTATTAATTACTTGATTGTTTTTTTTTTAATCAATCCTCACCATTACTGGTTAGACCCGCTCCGTTGGCTTGTCGTAAAAGATAAATATTGCCAGGGAGCCCCTCGGCGATAGAAGGTGAGTCGCCAGCATTACCCTGATTTTTGGAAAGGTTTACTCCTGCGGCGAATTTCAGCATGGCGCTCCAAATTGAGCAACAACCCTCTCCACTCTTTTCTTTCATCCACTTGATTGTTGATAATCACTTAAATGCTATATTGCGCACTGATAGGCACGTTTGCTTTAGGTGCATATAAAAACGGAACATTTGCAATGGTTGCCATTTGAATGTCCATTGTGTGGTGTGAGTCGCGCAACTGATCGACAAATGCGCGAACATCTGCATTCAACACATCGCAGTAGTTCAATCAAAGTATTTTTCAAATTTTTTGATGTTTTTGCGAATTTAAAAAGAAATTAAAATTATTTCGCAGTAAAAAGGTCCAAAAGAAATTGTATTGGCACTGATCACTGATCATTTATTGAAGTTTTGGGCGTCATTTAGATGCTACCAACTGAGCACATTGCTCAAATCACTTTGTCCACTATGCATCGCTGCCTAAAACTATTCAATGAAATCATTTAGATAGGTCTTCGTAGTTACAAATGCTTCAAGCAGCATTTACTTTTTTCATTCTCTCTAGCTGGAATTCTTATTCTGCAATCAAATTTTATTTTATCTTTAGGCAAATAATTGTTCCTTTTTAAGACAGTTAAAGAAATATTAGGGTTCTGTGTTTTTCTCTTAAATATTTTTCTGACGGAAGGCTTTCAACCAGGTGAAAGCACCTAAATGAGAAATTATTAGGACAATAGAAAGAAAGGAATAATGGCGGCGATAAATAATGGCGCAATACTTGAGGAATTCCTTCACATAATGCTTCTACTTTCAGTTCCATTATATTTATAATGAAAAAGCTAAACAAGGTTTGCAAAATATAATGGGGCTAAGTATGGTGCGACGTATTATATCTGTTCAAAAATCGCAAATTAGTAGCATGCACACAGCAAAGGAAACAACCTTTGCAAAACGCTCAAATCATTTTGGCGACAATAATGTAAGTTTTTTTATATACTTCAAATCTACTTTTTTTTGCAGAATATAGTTTTATAACGAAAAAAGTTATCTGTCGATGATACAGTTGAAAAGGCGTTCTGTGTGTTTGCTTCTTAGTCGCTGATAATCGCGATTTTTCTAATCTACACGCTTAAAACAAAAGTAGCGAATTTTTTACATTCAGGGAAGATTCCATGTAAATTCAGATTCATCAAATATCATATTTCATCATCTTCGCGCTGCATTTTATTTTTCTGTTTAGAGAAATGGTGAAGTATTTTTAAAAAATTTTCTTTTGATGACTTTGATGACTTGATGACTTTTTTCATCGAGTTACTAAATGCGCGGTTTAATGCGAGTAAATTATGATGCATCTCGCTGAAGTGGAGAGTAATCTTGATCTAATTAAATAAGCCTAGAATAAGTCAATGTTTTAGCAACCAGCACCGTTGTAATATTAAAGAATTTTTACTTGGAGGTTATGGGTAAAGGGTTCAGTGTGGTTTGAAGGAGCCTAAAACTAAGGTTTGCAGGATGTTAAACAGCGTCTATAACGGCGTCTAACGAAATGGGATGTTAAGAGAAATATATTCGAGTATTAGGCATTATTAGAAGGTTAACAAAAGAGCACAAAGATTTTGAGAAAGAATTTAAAGAAATACGTTGGAATTTGAAAGATCTTTGGAAAAAAGAACTTAGAAAAGAACATAATTTATGGTTGTATTACTAAGTAATGGTGAAATCATACAACTGGTTTGACAACTCGGTGGTATTGTAGACCCATATGCCTCTATTTCCAAATAATTCTCTGGCGAAAGGTTTCCCAGCCTAAAAGACAGTCAGCCAAACGGGAAGTAAAATCTTATGCTATTAGAAAAAGAGGGAATACGAATTGAGAGATATTAAAACGGTATAGTATTATAGTTCCAATTTTTAATCTTATTAATATGAATTGTTTAACGCATGGATATTGCCCTTTTGATCTTTCTAAATAATAAATATGGTGATATTTTTTGCATAACGCAGTGGTACCAAATATCTATAAAAAGGTTCAAAAGGTGCTGTTTGGTTTCTTATAATTTGTTTAGTTTCCTGTTAACAATTCGAACTTTAATTATAGATTCAAAATAGCTCAGCTTGTCCAGTCATCGATGAACCGGTTGCTTCTAAAGCGAATTTCGTTTCAATCACTGAAAACAGTCAAGATTTGCCATTGACAGATGAGAGTACAACTGGCAGTTGCATTACTGGAAAGCGCTTCAAACCCAGGTGAACTAAGAATTTCATCCGTAGTTTTAAGACTTTTCTCTCTCTCTATTGCAACCATTCAAAATTGACGTTTGCCTAACAAATAGAAATATTGGTAAGTATTGTGTTGAAAACTGTTTCAAAGCTATGAAATCCTGTGCAAGGAATTTTTCTAGATGCAGCTCACTATCTCCGATTAGGTTTAATTCACTGATTACTAAAGTGAAACTCTGATACCACATATTCACTTGAAGATAGTAATGCTACTAGGTTCTCAGTAATATCCGGTCTTAGCTTTTTTTGATGTGCTTTGCTCCCATTAAGGAATCTTTATTATGTTGTAAGGACATATAATTTTCAGGAGCCACTCAAAATCTAGGTAATCAAAGTCTCCAAAAAGAGAAAAACTGTAAAAACCTCAGAAGTGGCACCATTTTTTCACTTTATAAATGTCAAAACATTTTATTCATTTCTTAGAATTTCTTAGTTTTTCTCTTTTTCAGGATACTAAAAGTTCTGGATTTTGATATAGATTCACAATTCCCATCACTATTTTCTTTGCCACTTTTGCATAACTATATTACTGCAAAAACAAGATCATTTAGCTACACAGTTCTTATACAGTCCTACACAGTTAATTTATAATTATGTAAAATTATATAAGAAACGCTTCACACACCACTTTCAGATAGCGGTTAATTTTCATATATCTCTTTTTCCTCAGATTTACATTTATATTTATTTATAAATTTATTTATATTTATAAATTTACAGTTGTTTGGAATCACCGTATTCTAATAAAACTAACATGGATGCACTTTTATCAGCCATAAATGCAGCGACTAACTCGGAAATTAGCGATATTCCGTTGGAGGTTGTTGAAGAACCGAAATTTTCAATTGCTGATTTGTTTACGGAAGGCAAGCGAGTTAAAAACGAATTGGGTAATATTATAGGCATTATTTTGTTTTCTTCATTTTTTCTTGTCTTTGCTTAATTAGCAACAATTTTTTGTCGAGTGTTTCGATAAACTGAAATATCCATAGTTTGATAACATATCATAACTCGGTTTTCAACTCCATTGCAACAATAACAGTTCTAAGGCAAATTATTGTTATTGTTATTGGCCATTCAGAAGAAGGACCACTCGAAACAAACAACGAACGTGACCCTAACGAAATTTTGGGCAATGTAGCAGCTTTATTTAGTGATAACTCGTTAAATATTCGTCGTAGAAGTGCAAATGGCGTTTATGTTACTGCTCGTTCTAAAGCTGCTTCCAGCAGGTTCGCTTCATTTCGTACCTAAACGGTTTGGGTAACTAATTTATCTCACTGGTTTATAAACAGCCCAATACGATGGGTGGTTTTTATACCTATTAAATCTTTCGTCCCTTTACTTTTACTTGATTTTAATTTAATCAAGTGAAAGCCCACATAGAAGTCTGAAAACACTTTTTTTGCTAAAATTTTGCTAATGTTGAAGAAATATTATGTTCATCTACAGTCAGCATGATTTAAATTCAGTATCTCTAAGAAACGTGTCCTTGGATTATGCAATAAGTGCAACAAACCTGTAACTGCTGGTGCTCGTCAAATGCATATGTTTTATCATTTAGCCAAGGATTATCAGGTAAAATTATCATATTAGCGATTAAAATTTTTCCATTATTATTTGTTATTGTGTTCTCCCGGTCGACGAAACATTTATGGAGCTGTCGTGAAATTACCATAAAAACGAAAGTCCGCATCTACATAGCCGTGATTTGTTCGATCATGCTATATGGCTCTGAGGCATGGCTAGTGGAGGATATTATCTGCCTTAGACCACTCATTTCTAAGGTACGAGTCCGTTCGTGAGAGGACAAAATATCACATGATCGCATCCACCTTCGTTCATATACCACTTGCATAAATAATGTTATCACAGAGCGTTGCCTTCGCTGGTTAGGGCATATTCTCCGTCGTCCATCATAGGAATTGATACATATTTCGTTACTTGCTAAACCGTGTGATGGGTGGTGTCAAAAATGAGGTGGGTCAATTAAGACCTGGACTGATACAGTCAAAAAAGTTTTTGAACGTATGGGTAGACCAGCAATATATGGACTTAGACAATGGAAAAAGGAATGGCTTCTATTAGTGTTGACGATGGCAACAGACCGTGCCATTTGGAAGCGTCTTAGCCCCTGTAGCTGTTGGAGTCATCCTATTTAGTAGTGGTAAGTTTAGAAGAACAAGATTATTATTTATTATTAGATATATATTATAATAATGTAATAATGTAACTAGAAATAGCGCCTCATATCAAATGTCACGACCACATTTGCAAGCTTTACAAAGTTCGTTGAAATTGGATTATAGTAGCGAAGAGAAGTGATGAATCTGAGTTCAAACGTTTCAGATTTATCGATTTCGTTGTCTTTATGAAGGCTGCACAATTGAGCATTATCGAAAAGATCAAATGGAGAATCACCATTCAAAGTTTCATGGGAAAATTGATTCCAACCTAATGGAAGATAAAACTACGCAATTATTTAGTACATGTCAAGTAATAAATATTAAGCCATTAGGCTTGATTATTTCTTTCATAAAACTTAACATTGCTTGCATTGTTAAAAATCTAAAAAATCGACCAAATTCAATGCTATTAAGCTAAATTTTGAATTTTTAAGGATCTATCTATGCAGTTGCTGGGGACAGCAGGTAATACACCAGGACCAACTGCCGAAAAGGCTCAGCTTGCATATAATGAGTCATTAGCAACTTATGCTATGAATCAAAGCAGAAAAAGAAAAAGATATACAGTTAGCATTTTGCCATTTTTTCATATTTAAATAGAAGAACAAAGCATTGCTTCAGAAGGCAATTCTCTTTTTATTAATTCTCGTAAGCATTTTGTCTAATTTAGCCATTTGTTAACCATTTTTCACCCGTTTATTGTTTATCATTCGATCCTTAAATTTCCGTATTTTCCTGAACAGCTTATATATTTTTTTTAGATTCCAGACGTGTTCGCTTCAAAAGAGTTAAGAACAGCAAGTTCATCATTTGCAAAAATTTCCTGCCAAAATCTTTGCAAATTGGAATCGAACTTGCGCTCTCAAAAATTGGCAAAACCATATCAATCACTTTTAAATGAACAGAATATAAATTCGAACGTTGAAAATAGCAAAAATTTTTCACCACATGTATATGAATCGGAGTCGCTAAGATTAACGTCAAGTTCACAGCTTCCATCACCAGTATCAAGTTCGGTAAATTCTGAGGGATCGAAAGGCGCCTCTGATACTATTAAATTATCCATGGATGATTTTTTGAAGTGTCGGATTTGCAGCAAATTGGTAAAAAATAAGGTAAAAAAGAATATTTTATAAAAATATATTTTTAATAGGTTCAATAGATCGAGATATCGAGTACACCACATGTTTAACTATTATTGTTCTTATATCATTTGGCTGACGGATAAATTCTTCATTCGGGTTTTTATCTGATTTTCTTATTATCTTAGGTCCAGACCATATTGGATCTGTTTTCTTAATTCTGCAAAATTTCCCATTTGACGTTTAATTGTTTCAGATTCGGGGTTTACACGTTTTAAATCATTTGGCTAAAGATGTTGGTATTAATAGATATGCGTGTAAACTATGTGATTTTGGTCATGAACGGTCACAGTCAGTGCAGATACACTCAAAGCGAGAGCATGGACAGGATGATTGTATAGAAGATCGAATTCAGGTATTTCTCGTTTTTTCTTTTTCTTCGCTTTTTTCTCTTTTTTTCTTTTCTTTTTCTCTTTTTTTCTTCGCTTCTTGGAGTCTTCCTATTAATAATACTTCTCAATTATTTGCAATCGTTTTCAAGTATCCAAAGTTTTCATCAACCATTTTTTAATATCTTAAAGCATCTTATAAACATATAGTGTCTTAATTTACATGGTCAGATTCATGTCTATGTTTTTAACCACATTTTATTTCCTTCTTTAGAAGTTATTTATTTTCATATTTGAAAACAACCAAACATAGCAAGATGCAGCACTATGCTTCTGCCTATAAAAGTTTTCGAATATGAAACGGCATTAATAATGCCACGAATCATTTTTTTTCTGAAAGCGTTTACTATTGCTGGTTAAGCTTGTCGAACCAGACAAATCCTACCAGGATCTTCGGTTGTTTACTTGGACATAGAAGTACACTTGAATCGCCAGCATTGCTGTGGTATCACAGACCTTAAAAGAACAATAGAAATTATATGAAATCTAGTGGTATTAAAATGACAAGGAAAAGCAAAAAGATGTAATTAAAGGCTTTTTGCTATTTTATCTTCTATCCTCATTCAGCTTTATGCGAAAGAAGTACAAGAAATGTCCGAAAAGTGTTTCGGGTTCCATGCTTTATATGGTCAAGATTGTAAAGGACGAAATAAAATTCCCGTGACTGAAGTAAGTTATAAATTAAGTAGTCATTCTTCGTTTGATTAAAAATTGGGGAAGGTAAAATTTTAGTTGGGATTTTTAGATCTTTCACTCTAATCTTTGATTTATTTTAATGTGAGATCACTATTTTATGAAACTTGCGGCGATGTGGTAATTTCCCATTTTCTCATAGTGTTTCGTTGATGAATAAAAATCTCATGAAATATAGCATCGACAACTTTATGTATGTTTATACTGATTTTTAGGAAAGTTGTAACGAAGATAGTCAAGTAATAGATCGTTCTTGTACGCAAACAGATCATTTGCTACCGAAATCTCTGCCGCATACTACATCATCAATTGCCTCCCGGTTTCGTAAGCTAAAATCTCGTCGTTTTGGCATCCGTAAACAGCCATCTCGATCAAAGCGAAAAGAAATGGCTATTTTGAGAGAAAAAAGTATTAAATTTGGAGGTGCGCAGTATATTAGAAAACGAACAAATGAGACTGCGCAATGTGAAGTAATTCTAGTAATTTCTGTGAATTCTTTTGATATTCTTGTATACTGATTATTTTAAAATGAATTTTATTGCAGAAATGTGGTGTTGAGATAACTTCTCGCTTAATCCATCATGCTTATACTCATCTTAATAAAAATCTGTTTCTTTGCCCTATTTGCAATCTTGTAAGTTTTATTTTATTAATAATGCTAGATTTTTAGAGCTAATTGCATCGATTTAAACTAATTGATAACTGACTCGTCTAATGGGAACGATTTGTCTTTGATTTGATTTAATCAAAAATATATGCAGTTGTCTTTTCTGGCTAGGTAAATCTAATCACAAGTCATTTGGTTTGAATGATTTGATGATCAGATCAGTGAACTTTATCTGGAAATAAGCATTCAATGTTCTTCAAAAATTTAAAATTTATAGAATGTTTTGATTAAAGATTTATAGAAATATGTGAAGGAAATGATAAGATATTGAGAAAAAATAGCCTGAAGAAACATTTGAATGAAATTTTTGAAGGCAAAAAAAATGATTTATAACAACTACCCGGGTGCAGCTGGCATAAATCTTAATGATGTACATTTTTATTTATAAAAACTGTTATATTGGTGGCCCGGTAGTAATGTCGGCAGTAGTAATTTTTCATTAATTAGAACAGATGGTTGTGACGACGATGATCGATGATAAGGCAGTCTCAGTCAGTCATTTGCTTGCATTTTACAAAATTGCGCGCTAGAATCTAAATGTATTTTATGGATTTTCATATCAAACATCAATATTAAATGAATATTTGTATTTCAGGGAAGCTCAAATAGAGATACGATGATTCGACACATTCGTGATATACATGATTCCAGTTTCAATCCAACTGATGATCGGATCACTTATGCCAAAGAAATTAAAGAAATCATAAAAGCATGTTTCTCTGATTTTTTCGTTGATGCTCCCCTACCAACAACGGAAGATTACGCAAAACTGTAAATTTTTTCTTTTAAACTTATTTTAAGTTTCCAAAATTGATTTGTTAATCATTATTTTTATTTCGATAAGAAAAGAGAGTAATAATTGGCTACATAATAATATATTAAGATAATATGTAAATTTAGATATTTTGAACCTCATCCTCCATTGCACATGATTTTTTAATGCTTGTTTATTACTTTTTATTTTCAAAATTCATTCTCATAACTAAGAATTAAATGGCGAAACAAAATTTTCCTTTGCCCCAGGCTAAGGAAGAGTGGCGAAGTTACTAGTCATTCACGAAACAACGAATCAATCATGGAACAAGATAATCTTAAAAAACAGCAAAAATTGGTTATAAAAGTTAATAGTGAAGAGGTGAAAATTTTTGAAATATTTGTGAAATTCTATTTGTATATAACCCATTGAATGAATATAATTTTTCCTTTTAACGATATTTTTACCTTTATGAAATTGAAAAAAAATTATGATAATGACTGATTAAGAAGGACAGTAAGTAAGAAATTTTTTAAAAGCATTTTCATTGCTCATATATGTATTATACTGTAAATTTTGTTATCTTAAAAGAGTGTACAGTTCAGCTATCTCCAAGAATTACATGAATTTTTGGAAAATATCGTTTTTTTGATCCATTTTCAAGAAAAGATAGAATTTAATTTCGTTTTAATTGGTGATAATTTCGATGTTTAAGGATGTTGATGATGGAAATAGAAATATGAAGGCAGTTAATTCTCAGAATGCGAATGGTATTGATACTTCTTTAAATGAAGTGAGGAAAGACGAAGCAGTATTAACTAACGCTCACGATATCATTCAGAATGAGTGGTGTTCACATATTGAGGTGAACCTAGAGAACTCAGATATATAAAAGAAGGTAAGGGCGCGGTGAAGTTGCGTGTTTTGCATAATTTGGCAAAATTAGACAGGTTGTAAACAACTTCAAGGCTGTCTTGCAATTTTCTTTTCTATTTATTGGTGATAGTTAATTCTGACCAGTATTATTTGCAGGCAAAAATAAATCGTAATAATGCCAAAATCAGCGGCCACACCTAATTCACAATAAAAAAAATTAGTCAGTCTTTCACACGTTTTGACATTCTTTGGATTTAACAGCACTTCAGAAGAAAAACTTTTTCGTGTGAATTTCTGTAGTCTTATTCATTTTATTTTTGATGCTACAGACTTTTGTGAATGACTTTTTTCCGTATTATCCAGCATTGTTAATAATTTTTTTAGCCATTTACAGTGAAAATCATTTCGCATGTGACATTCATACTGTTAAAGTTTGCTACAAAGATTCAGTCGTCTATTCGAGGAACAAATATTGTCATATTCATTTATTTTTTTTTGTTTGGGAAGAATTGTGCCTCGTCACTTCTAATTCATTTATATTTTTATGTAATATAAAAATTATTCGATGAATTTTCTGGTTATAAACTGCTGTTACTAATCATTCACTAATTCCCCCAATTCTATTATTGTTTGAATAGAAATTTGAATAGAATTGCCAATCCATGTATTTCATTTGCTTCTTTTTTCAGAAATTTAGCAAATCTTTTTATTCAGACAAAGAGCAAGCAGGGGCTAATGCCCGTGCGATAAGAAAAAGAAATAGTAGGAAAACTGCTGTCGCAAGGTACAAAGTCGATTATTATATAAATATTAAACAGAAGCATCGAAAATAGAAAAAGCAGCATTATTTCATATCATAAAGTAACCATTTTGTTTAATATGATGCGGTGCTCATTTCTTTTTAATAAAAAGAGCGATAGCAAAATAATATAAAACCTCGTACTTATCTCGACGATATTGCTCGCATTAACTAATCAGTTGAAACGGTAAAATCAATCGAGGAAAGAAAATAAAACCACGAGAAACATATTAAGAATAAGGGCATAAAAAAGGTAAATTTGTCTGCCGTGCTTAAATAATTGAAAATATCAGTCTTTTTTTGAAATTGGGAAGCAAAAAGCTCAGTAGACATTTGTTCCAATTAAGAATACAAATAAAAAAATTGTTGGTTGGTTATTTAATTTTACAGATAAGTTAAAGAAGCTGTAAATTTTTTCCCGTTTTTTTAGAAATATGATTTGGGATTTTTATTGCCTTTGGCGTTCATGTAATGAGTCCTCAACTAGTACAAGTAATGAGCCATGAATATATTAAAGACGCAGTTTCACTTCGACGTTTGCCACTAAATAACTTAGCCAGTCGCTAGCATTTATGATTAGAGTGATTTGCAAGTCTGATAACCGACTACAATTTCAGTTTTTTTTATGCTACAATTCGTTCAAATTATTCAAGAATATTTAAATATTTAATATTTAATAAAGAATATTTAATATTTAAATTAATTTATTCCTTGTTTGTTTCAAAATTATTTAAAATTATTTTTAATAGGAATTGTATTTTCAGTGAAGAAAAATCTTGTCAATTTTTAAATTTTTTCCATTTTTTTGCACTTTCTTTTTCTTCCAGTTTACTTGCTCACATATTTTATCTTCTATTTCCCATTTTTAGAAACCAATAAAGCAGGGTAAAAGAAAATTTTCCGTACATTCGATAAGCAGCAACAATCTATTAAGGAATTAAAAAAATTTTTTATGAAATATTAGAATAATTTATAAATTATGGTTATCTCGGAATTTATTGTCAATAGCAAACAAAGAATTTTTTTAAAATTCTGATGAAAGTAAAACGTCAAACCAAATAATTTCATAAATTTAGCTTTGCTCCATTATATTGCATATTAAGCAATTAAAATATGGGCGAGTAAAAGTCGTCGTAAATTCGATAAAAACTCCAGGAAAACTGAAAAATAAATTTTTTTCTTCATTCACAGTGGGAATTACGTTCATGAAAAAATAAATTTACGATAATTCTTGAACCTTTCTGTGATAATTTAATTCATCTAAATTCTATGATAAAGTAACATATCGTGAAAGGCCATCATCAATAGAATATTTAATGTGCAGTACAATATCTGAATTTAGGCCAAAAGTAGGTTGTCGCTTATTTTTTTCCACATGCCGGTTCTTGACGGTTTTTACTTGGCTGAATTCGGTTGAAAAATTTCTTCAATCAAGCGAAGCCACCTTTTGAACGTATAAGTGGACCAGCAATGTGGACTTAGATGATGGAAAAAGGAATGGCTTCTATTACTGTCGACAATGGCATGAGATTACGCAGCTTGGAAACCCTTACCCTTGCCCTTGTAGCCATTGTGCCAACCTAATGAGAGCTGTTAGAAGAAAAAGCCACAGAAAAAAACTTTAGTTCACCAGTTTAGCGCTTTTAAAATTCAGCTAACTTCAATATGGCAGAGAAAGCTTCCATTTCTTAAACGTTTTCAAATGGGCACAGTTGACTGTTTTAAAGCCCACTAATGAATTATTAAATGTGCCATACGAGCTTGTCACATATGTAACGTTATATGAAACGTTAAATTTTTTCGAAGCATACAATGGATTTAAGAATCACAAAAAAAGCTGGGAAAAAATCCAATTTTCAATAAATTTGTGAATACACAAACAAATATGAGAAAAAATTTTCGCTTTTTAATTTGACTAATATTGTCTTTCATTGTATAAATCTTCTGTTGCATAATTCTTTCAACGATGCTCACCAATTCCAGTTTTGCAACGTCAATTCGCTTTTTTCCGTTTGGAATAAATATCGTAAAATCGGTGTGTTGCTGGATACTTTGCAGTCAAATTTTTCATTTAAACTGAATTTTCGCACTAATCGACAATTATGGTTTGCGAGTTATATTATCCGACATTTTCTTTCAAAATCTTATGAAAGTATGAAAGAAACTTTGCAGAAAAATCTTAAACTATGAAGAAAGCTTAAGAAAGCTTATAAAGCTTATACGCAAATAATTGGTACAATAATGCATAAAGTTCTGCATATAGTTCCGTTATATGGGTGATATGGATATGCTGGTTCCGTGTATATTGATCACTATAAATATTTTTGCATAAAATTCTATATGGAGCTAATTTAATTTAGATTAATATCTAGGTTCATATCTTTGCATCGAACATACACCCGATGTACAGTTATGCTCAAGGAAATGCTAAAAAATTGAAAATAGGAAACTGAGTAAATCCAAAAAAGATTAAAATGTATTCAAAAAATCCGAAATTTTTCCGTTCGCTTTTGCAAAAAGTGAATGATTTCATGAAATGTTTGCTTCCAATTTTTTTCTTGCGCATTATTGCCTTTCGACTGAATTTTTACCAATTTTCTAATTTTCTAATTTTCATTTTTCAATATCTTTCAATATTTAGTTAATAATTTTCGAACTGTTTCACCAAACTTACCTCACATCTCAAAGCATATAAAAGAATACTAAAATACTCGATACGCTTATTATTGACCATTTTAAAATTGAATACAGAATTCATTTCGTCGATATGTATTCCATTTAGCTGCACCATGACTGCATATTGAAATTTTTGAAAGAACCTTGCTAGCGTGAAATATTCGTAAGGTAACTATCGACTCAAGGCCATTGAAATTTAAATCTAGTCTCTAAATTTAAATCGCTAAATTTCCTAAATATATGGCATGTTTACACAAACTCCACAGAAATTCCTGATTTTAGAAAGTTTCAAGGCCAACCAAAGGAATGAATTCGTGTGGGTGGCCACAATGAAAAATGAAAAGATAAAAAATTTATATTTCCTCAACAAAACTTTTTAATGCCCTTATTGCTAAATTCTTAGTGATTGATTGTGAAGCGTGAAATATGTCTTTTTCTTTCCTTCATTTCAGTTTGATTTAAAAAACACAATAAAGATACCTCAAAATTAACGTATTTCGCATAAAATAAAATTCAACACGAAATACACGAATAATGAAACGCTAACAGATTCCGTAAATGTGAAAATATTATGTGAATAATATTTTAAAAAATTAGGGTTGATTTTATTTAAATTCAACAACGAAGGGGCAAAATTATGCATGCTTAACAAATTTAGTTCACAAATAACCTTATTTTGCCTCTTCTTTAAGAAAATACGAAGAAAATACGTCATTCAAAATTAAATATTTCATAGTGACATGTTGCACCGAGTAACATCACTGTTCCGATTTCCGTTTCCTGACGATAGTGTTATATTAAAAGTGAAATCCCTGTAATGCTGTGGTCTTACCCATATTGCTAATTTCTAATTCAGCTAACTTCTCTGGCGAAGTGGTGATATTCGAGTAGCCAGTGTACCAAGAAAGTGCTATTACGATGAGAAGAAATGAGAAAATGAACTGATTAAAGATGAAAATCTGCAAATTCCTATTGTCACGCCAAAACAATGTTTCAAAATTACTTTATGGGCGAAACAAAATTTCATTTTCTTATTTCTTTAATATTTTTTTTTTAATAGATCATCAATTTTCCATTTTTTATGTATTGTTGTATCAACAAATTCTTTGATAAAATACCGTTTATTTAAAAAATTTTAAATTCGTGTGAATCATTCATTACGTCATTGCCTTAAGGGAATTCCTATAATTATCTACTCGTTCATGAATCAAAATTTTTCATTTTTCCTATTTATTTGACAATTATTCAATTAAATTATTGGACAGTTTGAAAGAAAAATCATTGATTATATAATAATGCAATAAAATCTAGCATTGCCTTAGGCATCACCAACACCTATTAATATAGACTGACTGATTTCATGAAGGTAATCGCTAACTATTTAGTATTTCCATTAAACAATAATTATTATTTTCTTTGGTCTTGTTACTAAATCCAAAAAGAAGCGGAGTGACCAATCTTGATATGGCTTCAGCCAGTGTTCATTTTTATATCGAGATATACAATACGGTAGTCCTGTTTACAAATGGTTCTTAGAATGTCTAAAGCGTTTTGGAAATTTCGATCATTTTTATGAATCAAATTTTTTCTGACGATAGATTAATTCAAACAATCTTTTGAGAATAGTAGAAAAAATTATTATAGAAACTTGTGTAATGCTAAATAATTCTAGACATATGACAAAAAAGTATTGCTGTGAAATTAGGCTGAAAAATTAGATTTCGCATCAAAAACCAGTATTTTAAGGCAATGAAAAGGGGCTTTTTTATAAATATAAAGTTTGAAGAGGCTAAATCTTGTTTTGGAAAGGCTGTTCGTCAGAATTTTATTATTTCCCCAATAGGTGAATGAATTCTTTCATAAATTTAATAAAATAATTTCGTATCGCATTTAATGGAATCAAAAATGAGATTTTTCACCTCTTTTTTACATTTGCATACATTAGCGATTTGCTGTATTGCGTGAATGAATTAAAGTTTTTGCAGGCATTCTACAGTATGATGTTAACTGTCATCCTGTTCGCCATTTTCATTCATGAAACTTCATCTGGTTGTTGCGCACCTTGCCAGCCGTGCAGTCCGCCGCCCTGTCCTCCTCTTCTGCCTCCTCTATGTCCACCATTGCTACCATTGCCATCACCTTGTCCGCCACCAACTATTTGCCCACCAGCTATTTGTCCACCACCAGTGATTTGTCCTCCTCCACTTCCGCCACCACCACCTCTTCCACCACTAGTTTGTCCACCACCCCTTTTACCTCCACCTTGCCCTCAACTGGTATTTATTTTTATAATTTTATAAATATACTTTTTGAGAAAATAGTACATGTACGATGTACAAACTTCCTGTATTGTTAGCACGCTGCCTTATAAGGAAATGGCGCTTCAAAGCTAAATCATTTATGGAGTAGTACATTTTTAATAAATGGTTAGCCATCGTGAATTTCAGCCCCCACCTGTTTACGTTCCTCCTCCGAAACAGGATTGTTGCTGTCTTTGTGCTAATCCATGTCGATATGCGAGAGCTCGGATGCATGGTGCTCGTATTTTTTCAGAAAATACCGCAGAGAATGATCCAACTTGCACAGATCCCAAACTTAAAGTGATTATTCAGGAGGTGAGCATTTTTTGCCTTGTCAAGTTTGCATTTGTATGCAGTCAAAGTTTGCTTTGTTTTTTTCTGGTGTTCCTCTTATTTTTATTTTTTTATTCTTATAGATTACTTGTTAGGCCTTTAAAGAGGCTTTATAAAACCTCACTGAGACGATTTTTACGGATGAATTATCCATATAAAAGAAATTTCATAGAAAGAAAGAAATTTTTTGCGAAACTTAATTTGCAATAATAACAAATAAATTTAAAATTATTATTTTAAATTTTATCCTTTTTTACCCTTTGTGTAAGGTATTTTTATTATATTAAACTCCAAACTTCCCACTATATGTTATTTCGCAAAACCATTTCGAAATAAAATCGTTTTGGCAGTAATAGCCTGTCTCACTGTTAATGGCCGAAATTAGTCTTTTAATTTTCTTCATTAAATATAAATGTTATAAAAATTTTAAGTAATTTCAGAACATGTCAAAAGATCCAACAAAAACGAAACGTGCAATTCAAAAAGCAGTTGAAAAAAGTTTCGGTGGAAATTTCAACGTAATTTGTTCAAAAAGTGATTTTTCTTATGTCACTTATACGAATACTTTTTGCCAAGCTTCAAACGACGATGTCACATGTTATGCATTCAAACCAAGTTAGAAATTTCTTGAGAAAAAAATCATTTTTAATCAACGGGCAAATAATAATTTTTACCAATGCAAAAAATTCGATATATTGAAAATGAAAAAATTTTCTATAATAAACTATAAACTTAGACATAAAAAAAATTATTCGGTGGCAAGGATTTGTAACAAACATAATAAGAAAAGGAAAAGGCTCAAAAGGATCATTTAGCAAATTTTCTATTATTGCCATGTTAACTTTCCCCATTTAATTAATCCAGCTTTTATTAAATTTTATCATTGATGTCACTCAGTATATTGAATCAATTCCATGAACATGTGAACTGATTGAGCGATTTGTCTTTGCATCATTTTTTTTCACGTTTTTCATGTAAATTTATTGCAATAAATTTGTCGCCAACATTCATTTTTTAAAATAATTTAAAATATTTTAAACGCGAAAATCATTTTAGAGTATTTTTTAAAATTTCCCCTCTTATTTTTTATTAAAAAATTGCAGACTATCAACTCGTCAATTTATAATTGCTCTTATTTTTCACTGAATGCTGGCAACAAATTTTTTTTGAAAAAAAGCCCCTAAAATCCACTTTATAACAATGGTATAAAAATGTATGCGAGGTATTAAAATTTTGCAATGTTATATTCATATTGAGAAAACAATCTTATCGAATTCAGCTGAGCAATCATATGGTTATTATGAAGACTATGTGCACGTTTATGGAGAGCTTTGCTTGATAGGAATAGACCAAAAAACCTAGACGACGCTGGAACAAGTTTAACTAGAATGGTGAGCAGTTAACCACTTTACAATTAAACCGACTGATTAGGATTAGACTGTTGAAAATTGACTTCACTCTATTGCTTTTTAGCCGAATACGGTTGCTGCGATTCGTTATGATCAAATATTAATTAAATATTAATTTTAACAACACTAATACGAATAATGAGAAGGAAATCGAGAAAAAATTAAGCAAAGAGCAATATTTAGCGATGATTTAATGAAATTTAACGATAGCAATGAACGATAAAAATTAAAAATTAAATGAAAGATTAATAAGGGAATGGGATTTTTGATATTTGATAAAATATAACAACGATAATATAGCAAAGATAAGGAACCGCATAAAATAAAGTCACTTGAATTAAGTGGACAACTTTTCCTATAAGAAAATGAAAAAGATGAATATGGCCAAGTTTTCGGAAAAAATTGCTTCCTTACGAATTCTGCTGCAAAAAAAACCATTTATTAAAATCTTAAAGCCCATAACTAAAAATATTCTTAAATCTTTTAGAATCCAAAGGTTCTAACCTATTTCGTTTTACCTTTATAAATAAGTTCCTAACGACAAAAATCGCCCGAAAAATATGGTCCCCACTAAGATCGAGCATAGCGGATTCGATTTCTGTCATTTGATAGGGTTCAGTTTGTGATAAAAAGTGAATTTTGGCTACTACTGGAGACCCATTTAGCAAATTTGCTTCGTTTGAGTAGTTTCGTTCCTCTATACTTTGATGTGAGCTAAACTAATCAGAATGATATCGCTATCGCTGTATGCATCATTTTTAGATCTATAAGGTTGTCTAAAATATATTCCATTTTAGTACAAAAAGACTGAGGCAGTAAATAATAAATCATTTTTTTTTAGTACTATAGTCATCGAACTTTCCGTCTATAAGGAAAAAACTCGATTTTTTATAAAAAAATTCGCAGATGCAATTAACTGTAGGAAACTATTTTTTTCTTTTTTCCGCGCTTTTTTTCGTTAACAGTTGGAAAACAGAAGAGTTGTTACCAAAAAATTTCTTCACCATATAAATATTAAATAGCTTACTTAGATGAATCTCCAAAATTGGAATATTCAAGGCGAGACGATCCACTGATAAAATCAATTAAAATTACCCGTCTGTTTAAGAAACTTTTACCTGATTTTGTTCAAAAAAATCACTGAATAAATTCTGTAAAACTTGAAAATTTGTTAGAATTCAATTCAATATATTGCTTCGACAGATGTAACTTTATTTTCATAATCCATGAAAAAATTCGATGCAAAATTAGCGCTTTCATTTCACCATCAACAGTTAATTCATTATTTATTATTTACTAATTTTCTTATTTTCGAAATTATATTGGTAGTGAAAATATTTTAAAATCCGAAAGTGAAGTTTGAAGTTTCGCAAAAAAGCAAAAGAACTTCAATTCGATTAAATGAACAAGTGAATATTATTTTAATTATTTTACCTAAAATTAATTAATTTCTCGCATTTTCTATTTTCATTCAGTTATTTCTTTGCCATCTTTAAACTTAATGTTTTAAATAAACGCACCAAATAAAATAAACAGTGCTCATTGAAGTTGAACTCATAAATGATCGTTTGATTGTTATTGCTATGTATCGAATTCTTGAAGGAAAATTTAATGCTTTTTTTTTCATTCATTCAGAAGACAAATGAACAAATAAAAAAGATTGATTAATACCATCCTGACTACAGAACGATTTGTGATGAAATAACGATCGATTGGATTAGGGAAATATTTAGTATTTAAAAGAGCACGTCGATAGAATTCCGGTCTTTATTAGGCTCTCCATTAAAACGTAAGTTAATCCTTATTAAAATGACAATAAAAAGCTTTATCGATGGAGGCAATGGTTTGAGAGAGCAGTTATTCAACTCGCACTTTTTTTCATCTTAAATTAACCAAAATTTTTTAAAACAACGAAAGCTTCGCAGGTCAAGCATAAAACATTTCCATTATTTTCCAAAAAAAGTTGAATAAATTGAAAATTGAAAAAATAAATAAAAAATAAATTGAAAAAATACATAATAATTGCAAAATATGACTGAACGAAAGCGATTTTGATAAGGAAACCAGTTGATAAAACTAAGAATTAAGCACAATGCTAGCACAGCCACCCCGAGAAAATCTATAAGCCAGTTTAAAGAAGAAATATATTTTGTGAGCACAGTCCTTGTCAAACAATCTAGGCTCAGATATTTAGCTAATTAATTAATTACTGCACTAAGATTTATTCAAAATTTCGGCAAATCAAGTTCGTGATTTGTTTATTATTACGAGTTATGAAATGAAAAAATGCTTTTTTTATTTTTAAAAAGCAGCAAAAAATTTGCAAGCTTGTGAATAATTTCAGCTAACATTTATAGGATTTAATTTTATTTCAAAAATTTACACAAATAGTTAAAATAATTAAACAACAAATGCAGATATTTGACACAATGTAAAGAAAGGTTAAGTGAATTGCAATAAAAGATGGGATCAAACAAGAGAAATTTAAATCGCATAATGGCATTTTTTTTCTAAGAGCACTCACCACTGCTGGTTAGGCTTCTTCCGCTGGTTTAATGGGATCAAACTAATATTTGCTAGAAAGCTTTTTTGCGATAAAAATACAGGTGAGCCATAAGCGTCACCTGAGCACAACATCAATTAACATTTCTTGCAAATAATAAATAACAATAGACAACTAAAAAATTTCAACATTTTTTTCAAAGAATAGCTTATAGTCAATTAAAAGAAATTTTGAAAGGGTAAAAATTCAGCAGATGGTAAGAGGTAAATTGATAAAAAAATTCGTGACGTTATTAAGTGAACCATTATTCCCACTTTATTCTGCCTAAAATTGTTGCCTAAAACTTTATATCGTTGCCATATTCTTAAGGGTACCATTATTCTAAGTGATAAAAACAGAAAGACGATTATAGATTATAAAATCTAACGATTATTTTTCACTCAGTAATTTGAGGAAAATTATTCAAGAAGATTTTAAAGGTAAATATTGTTCGTTTGGATTTAGTTTTTTACGCAAAAAATATTTTTATAAAAATGGGATATATTGTATCTCCTTTGATAATTTTTTATATTTTATCTTGGGAGACACATTAACAATTTTAAGATGAGTTAAATTTTTTTCACTCAAATGATGGAATTCGTTTCTAATTATACTTGGGTTGATTTTGTTTTCAATATCCGGCACATCGTAATTTTTCGTGATCATTTTAGTTTTAGTGTCTATTTCATCCAGGATGATAGCAATATCAGTTCGATTACTCATGTTTCTCATATGCTCATCTTCAACTACATCAAGCGTTTCACCTTTTAATTTATCTCCATCTTTTTTCAAAGATACGTTTCCTTGCGTTCCATCCAATACCAGCATAATCTTGGCTGTGTTCCACTTGTCTTCCAAATCTTCACTTGCACTATCACGTAAGAATAACATATTATAATCCTGAAAATGCATCAATAATCGAATTTTTAAATTTATTTCAGATGAATTTTATGTTATTTCTGGCAATCTTAACATTTTTAATTTAAATGAAGCTAAAATACTGTGTGTTTTGAGAATTTAAGAAATAGTTGATTCAAAAAAAATTTGTAGCTTGAATTTTGTACGAAGCTCTAGTTCAGAGCACTTACTAATATTATCAATCAATATCTATCATCGTAAATGCTGCGCCTCCTATTGGTTTTCAGTATTCTTAAGTATTTTTATCAGTGTTCTTAAGTATTTTTTTACTAGTAATCATAATACTGTTGGCATAAAGTTCCAATTAAATGTTCGATTATCCGCCTGCCTACTTTACATGTTACAAATATATTGCTAGATAAACTAGAAATTTTTTATTTTCATCTGTGGAATCTGCAAAAAAAGGACACTCAATTCATTTGTCAGTTCCATTTTGTAAACCTCTTCATTTCTATTTGCTTTTAACTTTTATCTGTCTTATTGCTACTAACATCATCAGCACATGGCTTTGAGTTCTATTTGGTCATTTTATTTAAAAAAGTGGAAAAAAGGAAAAAGTAGAATGCAATGAGAAGGTTAAGAAGAAATGGATAGAAAGCAGTACAGGTTCCAACAAAAGGAGTCAAAGTGAAGTATTTTTAACCTTAAAAAATCAATGAATATAAGTTTTCGAAAACTTTGGTTTGATAAAAACTTTTTAATGAAAAGATTATATGGTTATTTTAATTTTGTGCTCCAAACGTTTTCAGCTTTATTTCTAAATGCAAAGTAATCAGAATGGCTTTTTACCTTGTTGCTGCAAAATTGCATACAATCTGCGTATGAATCGAATATGTTCATCCCATCTGCACATGCAGTTTGCTCACAATTATTAGTTACAGCGTTATAAGTATATTTGTTTCGGGTCGAAGTTTCATAGCAGGCCAATGTATTTTGCAATGGCAAGCAAAAATTTCCTTAAATGTTTTTCGAAATTCCATTATAAGGAATTTCATTACAAGGAAGAGGAAATTGTACTGAAAGTCATCAGACAGGTCACAAATATAGCCTTTAACCGCACATCTCCCATAAAAACGTTTGTGATTTCAAGATCCATAGAATTGAGCCATTTTATTCTAAGCGAAAATTCTGCGCTTAGCACTATGATTCATTTGCACAAATAAACTAACTAGCTACTTCATTTTTTCAATAAGCTTTTCAGGATCAATTTTCAAAAAATTACTTGGATCCGGACAACAGTATGCATCGCCATTATCAGTCAGACTGCATATATAACCATTTACAGGGCAAGCGTTGATTTGGTTCAATAAACAGCTTATTGGAATTCCTTCTGGCGTTAGCAGCGGACCACCTTTTGGACAAATTTGCCGCCTAATTGGGGACAACATCTAAAAAAAAGTATATTTTTGATTTTTAAAGCATCCTAATTTTATGAAGGAAAAGCAAATGAATACATCATTAAAGTAAGCAAACGAACAAAAAATCTGCCGAGTACTTGATAAAACTTCTATACATTCATTTACCTTATAACTGTTGAAGCCTGGCTGAGGCTGACATAAAGGACCATTGCATGGAGGCGCAAACACTGAAATAAAATTATAGTAAGAAACCCACACACTTTAATTTCGCATCATATGAACGGTTTATTTTTTGGTTTAGTCCAATAATTAAAAACGAACGTTTCAGATCGTTTTTTTCAAAAAGCACTGTTTTTTGGAAATTTTTTTCAATTTTACTTAATAAGTTACATCTGTTAGATGCGAATCGAGAAATGCCTGGCATATTCGTTGCTGATCTCCTAGATTTCAAAAAACATCTTCATTGATTTTGAAAGATTACTTGGCATTGGTGGTAATGGATTTGGAGAATTCATGCAACGTTTTGCGCAATTCTGCATTGTTCGAAAATTGTTTTGATTGCCTCCCTCACCCATATAGATAAATGGTAAGCAAGTTCGGAGATCAGAATTATAATAAAATCTATTCAGCTGCATCCTTCCATAACCGATTACTAAAGGCATTGAACATACCGATGATTGCGCTAAATTGTTGGTAATATAAACAAAGCAGTTATCCAGTTAAACAAAGCAGATATTGATAAGATTAGATTACTATTACGTGCTTTATCTTCATAACCTCCACCGTATATTATTTTTTTGCAAAAGTAGAAAAAGCAAAATTTCTATATATTGAAATTGAAATATTCGAAGATTTTTCAAAAAAATTCGGTATTACTTATTGATGAATGATTTACCTACACATCTTGCCACACAGTTTTCTTTCGTTTTGAAATTGTTCTGATTACCACCATAGCCGCTGTATTGAAAAGTTTTGCATACGCCAGAAAACTTATCGAAGTACCATCTAGTAAACGGCCCAATATTACTAACTGCACCTTGAGCTAATGGAAAGAGGCATGGTTCAGCAGCTGCAAGGCGCATTTAAAAAAAATGAAGAAATGAAAGCAATACTTATAAAGATATGAAGATCATGCTATCATTAATCACTAATCTGTAAGAATTTCTGGCAATTTTAAAAATATATATAGTGAATACCAAAAATAATAAAACTTTAATAAATAAGGAATTTTGGAATGTGGTATAATTGAGATTCTATGGCAAATTAAATGGCAAATAAAGAGATACCTCCAGGGCAACAAACGGTTGTGTCACTTGTTTCACCAATGTGGCACCAGTGAGTTGGTGGACATGACTGTGGGTTGCTTTCACTGCATTTCATAATTGTTAAGTAGTTATTGTTCTGGAAGTCATTTGGACAGGGATTACGAAACACTAAAATTTAAATAATAACATAATTTGAAATTAAAATGCTAATCATTTGTTTTAACCATTTTATTTTTATATTTGCTCATTTAATACTATTTTTGAGGAAACACTTTAAACGAAAAGCACTGAATACGCAGTCAAAAAGTTAACAAAAAACAAACCCGGACATAGCCGAATACATGATGCTTCATTTCCAAAATTGTTTTCATTTCCACCAGCACCCGAATACATAAATGGAAGACATTGCCTTGTATTCTGGTTAAAATACCACCTGACAAATTTCATTGATTTAAATTGAGCTGGAGCAAAAAATATAACTTCTTATTTCAGCAAACAAACTTTATAAATTTTCGGCAGTTTGCATTTGCCAAAGCTTTATGTGTTGATATAATACAATACATAATAATGTTACCTCGGCAAACCAGCTGATCCGGTTCCAATAGACATGGGTGCTAAACACGCATTTCCAAGCGAGGGGCAACATACTGTATTCTCAGGCGATGATCCGACATGGCAGTAGTATGAAGGTGGACAAACAGGTTGCTTAGGACTACAATATTGAACACCACCAACCAAAGAGGAAGCTGGATCACCCACTGAGCAAGGATTCCTTAAAGTGCTTTTATTCAATGTGCTAATATTATTTCAAAAAAGACGACTAATTCGATCATCACACCCACCCTTAACGAGTGGCTAGAGGACAAAATTTTTTTGTATTTTTGATAGTTTTTGATTCTTGATATTTTTGAGAAAGTGAATTCCAATAAAAAAATGGATTACACCATTTGTGTTCCATTTTCAGAGATAAAATTTTCTGTGATTCGAATTTCGAAATTTTTTTTTTTTTAAGAGTCCTCATCATTACTGGTTAAACTCGCTCCACTAGCTCGTCGCATTGGGTAATATGTCAAGGAGTCCCTTGGCGATAGAAATACAGATGAGTCGCCAGCATCACCCGGATTTTTGTACAGGCTTTCTCCGAAGAATCGAACCTCAGCATCGACGCTCCCAAATGAGCAACAACCCACTATCCCCAAACTTTCTGTGATTCGAATTGTGAAATTGTGATTATAATAAACTCACTCGAGCTCAGGGCATTTTTGTAGACAATCTTGATGGGTTTGAAAATTATTCTGATTGCCACCATAACCAGCATACTGAAATCGAGTGCATCGTCGAGTATTAATATCAAAATACCATCTGGCTAAACGCGATGACCCTTTTCCTTCTTGTAACGGTAAAATGCATGGGTTGTCAGCTTAAATTAGTGAGTGACAATTAATTAAGCTTGCAAAAAATTCCTGAAAACTGTATGAAGAACTATATATTGGACAACATATTTACCTCCTGGACAACAAAGCGATGCTGTTATATCGGCTCCAATATGACACCAATACCCATCAGGACAAGCACCTGCGACATTGGACGCACATAACAAATACTGATTATTTTCTCCTACAGCCGGTTCGCCATCATTACAAGGATTTTGAACAACTGCAAATGATATAGGTAATCAAGAAAAATTTATAAATCAAAAAATCAAGAGATCGAAAAATCAACAGAGAAGAAAAGTAAAAAGTACTGTCCATTGCAAATAAATGGTTTAAACGATATAACAGATTTCACAGCATTCCTCATCTTTTAAAAATGGCTGATTAGCTGTATCTTTGGTGTTACTTTGGAAAAAATATATTTATACCAGGACAAGTTGCCTCACAGCTTGCCTTTGACAAGAAATTATTTTGATTCCCTCCAATACCAGTATAAATAAACGGCAAGCACTGTTTGGTCAATGGGCTATAAGTATAACGATTTAGCATTGCTTCGCCACTGCCATCGAGTCGTGGTTCAGTGCATGGATCAGTAGCGCGACCTGGACAGCACACTGTCGTTTCTTCTTTGTCACCGATATGACAGAAATAATCAGCATTACATGAACTGTAAAAAATTAAATATGTATAAAAGCATGAGTATTAGCAATCAATAATTATTTAGGATTTTATGCTTTTAAAAATATTTTGGTGTTAATTTAAAACAGTATTGTGCCTAAAATTTCTAATTTTAAAAGCCAAAAAAAAACGCTTGTGGTACCTGTCATCTTCAGCTCCACACATTATGGGATTCTGGAATTCATCTACCTGTGGTTGTCCAAATGCACATGGATTTGGCGACACTGAAATAAAGATAATGAAATTCGTAGGTTTTGATTTTGGAAGAAAAAAAAAAACTTCCAGATCAAATCAAACAGGGATTTGGAAAAGATCCAAAATGGTCCAATGTTAACAATTTGGCGCTATTTTCAGCAAAGAGAGCTACAACTTTGAATATATCACCATGAATTATACTTAAATATTTAGAGAATGCTGCTTTAGAACCATGGAAATAATAGATAATGGAAATATTGCAAGGTGGGAATCTTTCGAAGCCCACCTGGACATCGAGATTCACAAGCTCGTAAAGATAAGAAATTGTTTTCATTGCCACCGAGACCCGTGTAACGAAACTGTTGACATGTTCTAGTCACTTGATTGTAGTAGAAGCGCAATAGGTCCAATGATCCGATGCCTAACAGTAGAGGCTGCTCACATGGATTCGAAGCACCGGGACAACAAACCTTAAGCAAAATTTGGAAAGGGCTTCATTTTTCATCCACTTTTCGTTTTGAAAATTCTTTTTGGAGTTTCGTAAAAATTTTTCGAAACTTGGTAGCATGAAAACTAGTACTAGTTTAAATTTCAGCCATGTTTTCTCAAATTATATCATTTTAATTATTAATGCAAAATACTGTGAAACTGCATGACTTACTGATGTTTCTAAAGATGCTCCAATATGGCACCAATGAGTTGCAGGACAAATAGATGGTCCAGAAGCCCCACAGTGAGTTATCTGTCCGCTTAAACTAATATGAGGCGGTCCGCTCGAACAAGGATTTCTAAATAAAGGTTATTCAATAGTTTAATATATAATCTGCAAATATTGCATGGTTGAATTTGGGGAAAATATTTCCCATATTTATATTCACAACATACTTGTATTCATGACATGTATTTGCGCAGTCTTCTCGACTGAGAAAATTATTTTGATTACCACCACTGCCAGAATAAGCAAAGCTGGCGCATATTCGAGATTCAGAATTAAAATACCAACGATTCACTACTGAACGCCCATTACCATGAGAAATGACTTGTTTACATGGGTCTTCCCCTATAATTAACATCTTTTATCGTACGCAAATCCACTTACAAATAATATAAATAAAAATTATATATTATTAAAAATAAATGAACAAACCATACATGGTACACTTTTTTCTACACAAAACAAATGTGTGTCTAAAATTACCTCCAGGACAACAGACAGTTGTTTCGGATGTTGTTCCAATATGACAGTAATAGCCAATGGGGCAAACACTTGGTGCAGCGACTGAACATAGCAATGGATTACTTTCTGAATTCATTGCAGGATAACCTTTTCCGCATGGATTCACTAAAACTGGACATTCTTCCTCGCAAGCCATCTTCGTCAAAAAATTGTTCTTGAAAAAAAAACCCATAGGTTTATTCTATTTAATCTTCGTGAATTTGCTCAAATGAGAAATAATTTTATGTTCATTCGATCCACTGGTATAGCATTTCCTTCAGACTTTGTTACAAAAATTATTAATAGCATGTTACATATCGAAATTTGTTCAAAAAAAATTCATAAGCAAAAGGAGCTGTGGACAACTTTATGCAATCGATTTAGCTGATCATAAGTTTTTACCTGATTTCCTCCTCGACCTGTGTATATGAATTGTTCACAAGACCGTGATCGAAAGTTATAATAAAACCTTGGAAGTTTGGCGATACCATTTCCCCTACTTAATGGCAATAAGCAAGAAGTATGGTCATTGAGCCTTAAAAGGCCATTCTTTGGACTAGAATTATGAGGATTATACGACATTCTTCGCTCGGAATTATGAAAAAGAGATGTTTCCAATGCTGGTTGGCTGTATGGATGAAAATTTGCAGGATAATTGTTAAACGAGCTTTCTGTTAGCATTTGACTCTGTATAATAAGACTTTCTGGATCACTTAAAATGGAGCTGATGAGAGGAATTTCGTTATATGCATTAATAGGATTGTTGAAGAAGAAAGGTCCTGGGAGTGGTAAAGAAGCGGGATTAAGAGAGTATGTTATTGGATTAGAGCCCATTTGAGAATAATCCGGTTCACTGCCTGAAAATGATGCTTTTAACCAATGAAGGAATAGATAACGACGATAATGTAAGCTAGAGATGCCTTCCTTTTCTTTCAACAGAAATTTATAATTCACCTTTAGGACAACAAACGGAAGTTTTTCTGCTTTCACCGATGTGGCACCAGTAGTTAGGTGGGCATGTTGGGTTTGCAGCAGTACAATATGCAACATTTCCGTTCATCTTGTTGATGAATGGAACTCCAAGTGGGCATGGATTATCAAACTCTGAAATTTATGCTAACTTCTGACCGAAAAGAATGTTTCAAGTATTAGTAGCTTCGATTTACGAAAAAATTTAAAATATATATTTATACCTGGGCATGTTCGTTTGCAATCTATAAGTGATGCAAAATTATTTTCGTTCCCCTTCATACCAGTGTAAATGAAATGCTTGCATGATGATGTACTGATATCGAAATAATAACGACTTAGAGCACCTCGTCCATTGCCCAAAATCAGAGGTAATTCGCATGGATTTTTTCCTAAAAAATCGTTATCCATGTTTTTTAGATGATTTTTTCATTAATGATCGGCAGTGTCCTATAACCATAAATTTATCTCATTTTTTCTAATTTTTCTTTTTCTTGACCTACATTATTCCATTTAAACATAGCTGTTGCAATAACCCTATGTGTTCTCTTTGCCTTATGAAGAACCCTGCAAACGGTATTTCACTAACTTTTCCTCGCATTACTCTATCTGGCAATGGAAAACTAAAATTATAGGTGTGAATAAGAAATTAAAGCCTCAACAGAATCGTTACTATTTAATTGATTATACTCTTTCGGAGGCACTAATTTCAGTTGGAAATATGAATTTCAGTTGCAATCAAGAGAATGAAAGCAACTTACCACTTCGAGGACAACAGACGGTCGATTCGAGCGAATCTCCAGTATGACAGAAATATGATGCTGGACATGTTTTTTGAGCGAATTCATCACACCGAACTAATTCATTATTAAATACTAATGGTGTGCCATATGCACATGGAGTATACATTGCTAAAAAATTTTCATCATTGTGCTAAATTTCCTCATAATTCGAAATCCAAAAAACCGACTTTGCCAATAAATGGATGAAAATTTGGACAAACTGGAAGATTTTAAAACTTCCACTACGCTGACTTGGTAAAAGCTAAAAATTATTAACTTATTTTGAACTATTACATGGAATAATTGGTATATTATTTGTTGCCTTTGCTATACTTGGTTGGTTAAAACCCATAATGAGTGGTTCATTTGGTTGTTTCGCAAATATAAGTGGCAAAAGAGTGTTGCGTTCTACAAATATAGGCGGCAATGGGGTATTAGCTTTTTCACTAGGCATCAATATTAACGGACAACACACGGTATTCATAGCCTGGTCAACAATACGGCAAAAATATTTTCCAGGACACGATGAACTATTAGTTGGTGAACATCTGAAAATAATTGTCATTTAGTTAAAATAATCATATGTGATGATAGATTGAACTTTTCAGGCTATCGAAATAAGTAATTTTCTTCTAACTCAGAGGAAATGAAGCAAAAATGCTACCAGTTTTGTGAATATTCAATAATGGCATTCTTACCTGCGCTCAATATCAGTGTGCATAAATGGAATTCCACCAGCACATGGATTGATAGCTTTGCAAGTTTCTTGGCAGCTATGATAAGTTAGAAAATTGTTTTGGTTGCCCTAGAAATTGGGAAAATTGTTTTTAATAAAAAATGCAAAAAAAACTCTAATTAAAAATAGAATACATCGATAGTGAAAATGTAATAAAATATTGGTTTGAATCAAATACTAGCCAATTTAATACATCATTATGTCACAGAATTAATAATTGGAGAAATTGAATTAAATTGTCTGTAGAAGATAAAAGTTTTACTTTCATGCCTTTAAATATAAACGTATTGCATTGTTTACTTGTTTCATCGAAAAACCAACGAGGCAATGAGACCACTCCCAAACCTGGTTCTACCAACTGTTTACAGGGATCCGTCCCTTAATATTTAATTATAAAGCAGTAAATTTTTTAAGGTGACAATCCTCCAGAATGAAAAGTTCTAATATTTTATTGCTTTTTTCTTCAAAAACCAAAGTGAAGTTAAACGAAGAAGATGAAGGAAGTTCCATTTTCCCGAAAATAATAATAAACTGTTAGAAAAAAAGCAGAAGAAATAAAGGTTTTTAGTTGGAAATTGAAACAAGGCTTATAGCCATGTTACCAATAATAGGACAGCAAAAACTTTGTTGTGGTTCAACTCCAATTTGACAAAATAAACCCTCGGGACACATAGGATTTTTAGAAGCGCATCCTTGTAAAGAATTATTCGTGAATGGTTGAGTGCAAGGATTGTAAATCAGTTGGTTCTGCATATTCATTACACTTAACGGTGGCTGAAATTTCACCATTGGTAACATGATGTTCCAAATATTTTTGCGAACTCCGCAAGAAAGTTCCATATATTCCAGTGCCAGCCAGTATCAATAACATCAATAATATCAATAATATTAAAATCAAATTCATATAATCAAACTTTTCCGTCGAAAGAAAGATAAATTACCTGTAGAATCGTATTTCTAAGAGCACTCATTGCAGAATGTGAATTTTCTAAAAAAAAGGAATTCAAAAGAAATTAACTAAATTTATATAAAAATAAGCAATATTATCAAATGTTATTCCCAGACTAGCAGAAAAAAAATGACAAGCGATGATCAGACCAATTTATTCAAAATTTTGCCCATTTTTTCCTTATTGTAAAAAACTGCTTATATTTTGAATTCAGGTTCGCCTTTCGTCTTAAATATTTATCTAAAAATATAGTTTAAAAAATTGAGCATTACTGGAAATCTTGTGAAATCGTTGCCCAAAAGGTGGTTGAGGTGAAGAACGAAGCCAAATAGTTTCATATGATATTTTTGGTGGATATATTCGATATATGGCTAAATATATGGCTAAATGCTAGCAACATTGTAAAACTTCTCAAATTTGAATTTTTTTATCGCAATTGTGTTTATGTTAACTAATCTGACAATCGCTTGATTGCACCTTTAGTTGTCCTGATATAACTAATACGTTCTCTGAACCATATGCTTGCAACCAACTTCATAATACACCTTCAACAAATACTCTCAGGTAGGGGAAAAAGAATATTACCAGATGATTGAAACAAAGCAATTCTGCTCCCAATTGTCAAGAAAGAAAGGTGAAAATGACTGTGACAATTGTCGAGGAATTAGCCTACTAGACATCTCAGCAAAAATTTTTGCTTGCCTTTTACTCAACAGACTTATGGAAATACGAAATAGCAGGATGCGTCCTAATCAAGCTGGATTCAGACAGGGACGCGGTACTGCTGACCAAATATTAACGTTAAGAAGGTTGTTGGAACATCGCTTCAGATATTTGCAACCCACTGTCACGTGTTTCATCGACTTTGCGGCTGCCTTCGATTCAGTTGATAGAACGACGCTTTGGAGGGTAATGGAAAGCGATGGTGTTCCAGAGAAAATCATTTGATTCACAAAAGAATTTCATCAGCGTAAATTGGCACAGGTATATGGGAAACTGACAGATTCCTTCGCTTTCCTCTACAATATTCAACTATGCGATAGACTGGGTAATGGACACCGCTTTTCGACACTCAAGGGATGTCCAAATCAGTCCAGACAGACACCATCTGTATAAATAATGTTATCACAGTGGTTAGGAAATGTTCTCCGTCGTCCACCATAGGAATTGATGCTTATTTCATTACTTGCTGAACTGTGTGATGGATGGCGTCAAAAGCAAGGTGGGCCAAACAAGACCTGGACTGATACGATCGGAAAAGATTTTGAACGTATAGGTGGACCAGCAATATATGGACTTAGACGATGGAAAAAGGAATGGCTTCCATTACTGTCGACGATATCATCAGACTGCACCGCGTCGCATCCTTGTAGCCGTTGGAGCCAGCCTAACCAATAATGGTGAGAGCTGTTAGAAGAATTACTGTACTTTATAAACTCGTTTTTATGATAAGGATTTGACTATGCTTTTACTTATTTTATAAAAAATTCTAAAGGTACCTGCAGTAGAGTTTGTATTCACTTGATCAATAGAATTTTCTGAAAATTTTGCGTTTGAAGGATTTTCTCTAAATGCTGTTAATAAATAAATGTTTTGCAAGTAAAAGTAATAGTCATTAATTTTGGTTAATCTAGGGTAACACTAATATCTTCAAAATGGTAAAATAATTGGTATGAAGCAAATATAATCATTCACTCGAATTACAGATTTGCCTGCACAGCTCTTCACTTAGAAAATTATTGGCATTTCCATTTGAGCCAAGATAATAAAATTGTATACATCGATCAGCGGAAACATCAAAATACCACCTAAAAAAATAATAAGCAAATGATATGCATGAGGAAATGTCTTGAAACAAATGATTGAAATAATTCTGTCATTAAAATTCTTTTACTGACATTTCCAGTCATAAGACCCTTTTGTCAGTTTTGTCAGTTTAGCAGCGCTTTTTGTTAAATTAATTAAATTGATAAATAATCGAAAAATAATCGAAAAATTATAGATTGTGATATACCTAGATGAAGGTTGTGTTCCTTCTTGAGGATAACCTTTATCAGGCGCCAGTTCACAATAGTTGTTTGGTAGGAAAGCAGTTGCAGTTGCTCGTTGTATGGGAACAATCGTTGGCGACACAAGATTGGACTGAGATGAAGAAACTAAAAAAAATCTTAATTTAATTTTAATTATAATATACATTTAGATTCTTCATAATCATTTTGCAACCTAAACATCCTAAATTGGTTAATAAATCTATCGCTTAAAGCATTAAATAAAATTTTTAAGACATTAAAAATTTAGGATATAAAGGACTTTTTGTAAAAATATTTTCTTGGATAGTAGTACGATGCCCTTCGCTATGAATTCCACTAAAAAGCGCAGAAGGTGAAATGCCTGTTGATTTTGCATAACCTACAATTTATATTTACGATAATTTTATCGAAGTAGATTATATATCGAAGAATTACTTCCGAAAATTTCTAAACTTTATCTCATTAAATTTAATTTATTAGAATTGAAGCAATCGCTTTTTGCGAATAAAATTTAAAAAATAAGGATAAGAATGAAAAAACCTTGACAAATTTGTTCGCAGTCAGTTTTTGATAAATAATTGTTTTGGTTTCCGCCATATCCTTTGTATAAAAAATCCTTACATGATGCTGAATTCGAATCATAATAAAACCTTCGCAGCATTGATGTCCCATATCCTTCAGTTAAGTGAAGCTCGCACAAATTACTCGCTAAAACATTCCATCATAATTTTATTAAGTTCACTTCGGAGAAGAAGTATTCTAATACCACGCTGCTTTCGCAGAGGACAAGCATCATAGATTTGATTTGATTTTTTGACTCAAGTGGGCCTGCCATTAAAAGTGAAATCGAGAGGTGGTGAGGACTACCTTTATCCCCAACTGACTCTAAAAGGAGTTTCAACTCAATAGGTCGGTGAAGTTACCCAAAGATAAGGCTGAAAAGATTAGTGCTACGCTTAAATTTAATAAAAATTTGTAAAGATTCAGTATATCATAAGAAAAAAGAAAAAATTGTGTAGAGCGACAGACTTGTTCTTTAATTATAAATAAGCCTTAAAAAAAGCAGAAATTTAAGCCTCCAATATTTTCTGATTACCAGCCTCGATTGGTTTATTGTCCTCTTAACATTCAATCCTATAATAAGTTGAACTACATCGATCAGTTCGGAATTACACTGTTTTGCACTTATTTTTTGCTGTAACTAAAAAACAAAAGGCTATGACAGAATTGTTTTGCACCGTTAGGATCAGCATCACAAAAAAACCGTTACTAAATTTGTAAATATTGTAAATGCACGCGCTTATGGGTCTGCAATCCTCAAACTTCTTTCGCTAAATGGGGCAATTTTTTTTTCTTTATTGCTTATAAAATATCTAGTCAAAACCGAACTTAGACTGCATATTCACCGAGCATCTTAGCCTACTTATTTCTTCGCCTATTACTTTTGAATGAACTTGAAATTTCTACAGAATAATTTGCCAAAGTTGGTCTGTCTGTCTACCTATTGTCATTTTTTCATTTTTCTACCCATTGCCTAACAACGATAGGTCTTTTCCTATTGTTATTCATATATTTAATTTTAGTAACTAGAAAAAAAAGCAAACATTTTTTACTCTCTGGGCAACAATAATTTGTTGAATTTGTGGTACCAATATGACACCAAAATTTATTTGGACATTTGTATTCATTTGAAGTTGTATATGGATAACATAATTTTAACTGATTATTTTCCTGAAGAATAGGTGTTCCTTCTTCGCATAACTGTTTGAAATCTTAAAATGAATTTCGTGAATTTGTTTAATTCTCTTTAAAAAATATTATCATATCATCCTTTATTATCATCCTTTTCTTCAGAATTATGGTTGATGAAAATGGAAAACTAAAATTAATAAAATTTCAGTGAATATCAGACCATTACAAATTCATTTACCATGCACATCAGTTTAACCTTCGAAGTCAATTATTATTTCAATAAATAATTACCTATAACAATAGCATCATTTTCGAGAAAAGTAGTATTGTTTACAGAGTATTGTTCGCTATCATCAATAACCAGGACAATTAATAATAAATAAACAGTGTGGAAAGAATCAAGAAAAAATTTCATTTTCTTGAATATTCTTCCTGAAATATGGTTAACTTCTGAAATTCAGTAGATCTAGAAATTCAGTTATATAAATTTATGAATGCAAATTATTTAATAAATTCAACGATTGTAATAACAAGTAATAATGTCGAAAGTAAAAATTTTCAGATTTTCGGGACCATGATTTTTCATATAATTCACGCCCAAACGCATAAAAGAGATTTTAAAATTGGAACGGCTTAGTAAAGTATAATTTTTAAGCTCAGGTGACATTTTTTTGCTAATGACTTTATTGGAGAATGTGACTAGCCACAGTTTTATTAATTTATCTTCCTTCTGTAGAATGGGCTATACTTGGAATTTCCCATTAAATAGAAGAGATATAAAAGATTTCTCTCATCCGTACTCGCTTAAATTGCAAACTACGATGAAATACCTGCCGACTCTCCTATGAATGAAAGCAAGTTCACATGCGACAAAATAAATAATTTTCTTAAAATAAAAATTTTCTTTCACATTCACCGTTTCCTATTCCTCCTACAAAGGAACTATAATATACGATTTGAACAACCTTGCCTCTGTCAAATTGTTTATTTAATTAATTTAAATTTCCCCTTTCATTTCGCAGGTTCTGATTCCTTGGGTTAATAATTTTGTACGTATTAATAGCTTAAATGATTCACGAAAAATTGGAAATGTAATTAGAATTTTTTTAAATTCGAAAATGTTAAATACAAAAAAACTATAATATTTCAATATTTACACCAAAAATTTTCAAAAAAGCCTGGGAATTTTCTACTTTCTTTCTTTGGTTGCACTATCTTTTTTCATATGTAATGTGAAAAATGATTGGATAGTGAAGCATGATAAATTGTTCCGACTGAAGCTAAGCTCCGGTGGATTTGATATGTGTTTGTTGACGACGATAAAGCTATCATTAAAAGTGAAACGCGTGTAATGTTGCTGACCCATTTCTACTTTTATGCTCCTTTAAGTGGCTTTCTAGCGAAAGATTTAATAGTGATTGCACGCAGCAAACCAAAAATGCTAAAAGCTGATTGAAGAGGAAGAAGACGAGTCGTAGCGATTAGTAAAAGTTTATTAAAACAAAATAATTTGAATTGAAAATAATTTTAAAGACGACTTACAACAATAAACATTCGTTTACAATGAAAAAATTTCTCCGAATTAGTTCCGTTTGTTTCATTTTAAACTCATTTTTTTCGTTCGAGAAAATTCACTTTAGGTAAACAATTTACATTTTATTTATATTTAAAAGATTAGAAGAAAGCGAGAATTCATTAAATAAATTTGATAAATTAATAAATTACAGTAATCAGAAAATATAAAAATTCTATTGTAATTATGATTATAATATTTTTGTTTTTATTATTTAAACTAAACCGATTCAGAAAAGTTCCATTTCATTTACAACTAAAAAATTCACATTAATTTATCGACGAATAATTCAATTCAACAATCCACATCATTAATTAATAATTGTGATTGCCGTTGATGACACTGTAAAAAGATGGTAACTATGCGAATACAATGGCAATCAGGAAGATGATCAAAGGCGCGGTTAAAATGTTAAAAAACTTAAGAATTCTGATGCAAAGCAGAAGAAAGTGAATCCGATACAGTTCCATGGCTTATGGTGACAATAATCTTGAAGAGAACTGAAATAATAAGCAGCATAGATGATAAGAGGAATGCAAGAAATTACACTGCAGATTTCGCTTAATCGTTGTTACAAGTTAACGAAGAACTGAGTGGATATTTAAGTGACCATTTGAGCAAACTTTATGATATTAACTGGTTTTCTTTAATTTTAATTCGTTTACTAAACATATAGAATAGTTTATTTGACGAGAAAATAGGCGATTCATTTCCAAACTTTTCGTGACTTTTTTTTAAAAGTAATATCTTCGATAAAAATAATTTGGTTGAAACAGTGATTCATTCAAAAACAACTGATCGCAAAATTTTTTCCACTCTCAGAATTTGCCAGAGCTTTTTGATTGTTCAGGAGAAATGCGAGTCCTACCGTATATTCAGTAGAAGGAACGAAGTCAGCAGAAATAAGGAATAAGATTGCTCAAGCAATCCGACAACATGGTTTTAAAACTTTTCCACCTTCTTCTTCTTCGTGCTAATATTAAAACGTTTCTAATATTGTATTCACTTGTGATAAGTTTTTACTACCGATTTGGTGAAATTTTTTTTTCTATTCGCTGACTGGAACTCGAAAGATTGAGAAATACAAGGAAAAATATGGGGAAATATATGCAACAACAGCAGAAAACTCTTCAAACGGAGCTCAGAACCTCTGTTTTGACTGGCTTTGTTAATTGATGTTCAAGCCATTTCGGAAGAGATTCTTCCTTGGACATAGAAGCATAGATGGACCACTGGCAGCAGCATTTCAACGATTTGTTCCCGTCAAAAAGCAGTTAAATCGAACCTATTTCTTAATCGACGCAAAGTTCCATTCAATTGGCCTATCCATGTAATGGCAAAGTACCTAGCAATTTATTGTTGTCCTTTGTTGAAAAAAACATATTTCATTCATTCATACAATTGTTTTAGTTGAAAAGTTAATACAAAATTATACGCAAAATTTAGTTCCTATGCCAACATCTGAGTAGTTAATATTTAGCTGCAATATTTGGCATTTTCGAATATTGAATCTCGTTGCGATTTAGCCATTCCAAATAACTGAATTCAATGTTAAGGCGCATTTAGGTTATGGAATACTGGTTCTGTCCAGCGGGTTTTGAATGGGGTTGTGGTGGTTGTATGAGCAGTTGTGGTCTTGTTGGTTGTTGGTTTATTTAAATGTAATACTAATGGGCCATATCAATTTGTTCGATTCCTTGTAAATGCTTGTTAAAACTAATTATCTCCATTAAATATTTTCTTGTGATGTTTTTTTCTTACGTAATGTCTCGTAATTGATCATTTATCTATTCATATTTTTATTTGTTTGTGATAAGAACACTTAAAGATTACAAAGACCACCAAAAATCATAAAATGGCATATAATTTCCGTTCAAATTTAAAGCATTTTTATCCTAGATTGTTGCTTTTATACACAACAAGTGATTTATGGCCAAAATGTCTTGTGTTTTGTGATTAAATAGGCTTTTCTGAAATGTCTCATGATAGCTATTCTATATGATTCTGACTGTTTGGATTTTGCTCGTTCCTTGCTGGCCCTCCTTTGCTGGTATTATCGAATTAGTGGTGGAAAAATTGTTTTCCACTTGAACAGTTCTTTTTGTGAAGGGAAGTTGAATGATCCGACTAGTAGGTTATTTTATCCATAATCAAGCATTTTCGGTTCGCTCTTTCCCTTGAGAATAGTAAATTTATCATGATGTTGGAGGTCCACATATGCTTCTATCTCTCGGATGGATTCGCACGAACGAAGAATGGTGACGGCTTTCTGAAGAAGTTTTTTTATGAAGTTTCTCTATTTCAGAAAAAAAACATCATGTCTCGAAGATCTGATCCTTTGGATTGTAAGGTATACGTTGGCAGTCTTCCTCAAGATGCAACATCGCAAGAGGTGATTTCTCTATAATTTAACCCATTTTTTTGCCTTTTTTGCGTTTCAAACGAGGTTTATTTACTTAACTTTATTAATTTTATTAACTTCTTAAAAATAGTAGAAAACAAATGAGACATTTAGATTTAGAAAAAATTTGGTAAGGAGCTTTGCTGCAAAGAGTTTATGAATTATTACTTTACCCATTTCATGAAAGATTAGAAATATGATAAAATGTTAAATGCTGGAAGTATTTAATAAGTACCTTAGAATACCGTTTTTTGCATGAATTGATAGTATTTGGCTCTGCTCCAAAATCTTTTCTCTTCTCCAAAATTGCTTTTCAGATTGAAGACGCTTTTAATCGCTTCGGTCGTATACGAAAAGTCTGGGTGGCTCGTCGACCGCCAGGGTTCGCTTTTGTTGAATTTGAAGACAGTCGTGATGCGGAAGATGCTGTAAAAGCTTTAGATGGAACGTTAGTCTTTTTTTGTTTTTTTTGCCGTTGAAAGTTAATTAATGTTATTAAGGACTGACTTTTGGTTATGAAATTTTGTACTACTTTCAAAAATTTTTATTGTCTCATCTTTTTGGCATCCGTACAAATATTTAAAGGTAATAAGGTAGTCGAATGTACTTTGGTCAGAAGCATTTTCGATTTCTTTCTTTCTTTTTAAAGGAGGAAAATGAAAACCAAGTATTAAGGGCGAAGTGTAAATGGTTTTGCCTATCTGAACTGATACTCCAAGTGGTTGTCTGGGAAAGGCGCCATTATAAAATTATTATGTTTTAATTTATAGAAGGATCTGTGGGGTACGCGCCCGTGTTGAAATTTCTCATGGTCGTCGTCGTAACACTGGTTTTGGTGGCGGTGGCGGCGGATCTGGTGGTGGTGGTGGTGGTGGTTATTATGGTGGTGGTGGTGGTGGTGGATTACGAAGATCCAGGTGTGTTTTTCGAAATTACTTTGTTTTCAACAAGGCTATTTTCGTGTTGTGGGTCCGAAAATGACTATTTTCAGTTGGAAAGAATCATATGTTTTAAAAAATTTAATTTCTAAAATCATTCCATTCTCTGAAATATTCTGAGAATTTCCATTTCTCTATAATGCATATATTTTAACTTTATTAGGTAATATTCCTTAGTATAAATCAGCAATATAGGTTTTGGGAAGTAATTTATCAGAGTGCAAGAATATTAATTTGCGGATATGAAAAACAGCAACATGAAATATGAAAAAATTTGATCATATAATTTAAGATAATTGTGGATTTTAATGGAATCTTCCAAGCTTGCTTTCCAGGTATAAATGAAATAACGATTTGAAAAATTTTATGTTGGTTTTTGATGAATGCGATCTGTCCTGATATTTTGAAAAATATTCTTCTTTTCAAAAACTCTTATTACCTTGAAAATATTGTCTTTTTGATTGCTCGCTAAGTGCAAAATTCATAGATTTTTTGGTTTATATTATTTTCTTTTCCAGATGGAAATTCCTCCAATTTATCTCCAGTAAAACGCCCTTAGCGATCAAAAATTGAAAACCCTTTTAAAAAAAGATCCTTTTGTTGGGGGAAGAAATTGGATTTTAAATATTATTGAAGTGCTGTTCATGATTGGAAAATTTTTTAGCTGTTCACCTTTCTTCTTCTCGTCATCAGTGACTGATACTTCATTCACTTATTGAGCGGTCACCCACATTCTTCTCAGTATATCATCAATTTTTGGGGCAGCAGTGACCCACTCAACTTTCGTCGCCTCGTTGCGATTTAAGTGAAATCTCCACTTATCGCATTATCATCATCATCATGCTCTCTGTGCTTTGCGTAATAATCACCCATCTCCACTACTACTACTGCACTTCGCATCTTTATATTTACATCATCTTCATTCTCTTCATGCTACAGTGGTAAGGATATTGTGGTAATGGTTAACAGCCTTAGAATAGGGGATTATGGGAATGTAATCGGACAAACTTGAAGTAAGAGTATTTTAGAGTAAGAGGCGAAAAAATGTTGGTAAGTTAAGTAAAGTGCATCTCAATGGTGTTTTTTCTGCATTAATTGTTTATTCCGTTTGAGCCACTAAACGGTCTTCTGTGGTGTAAATACATTTTTTAAATGACATAAATCGAGAGAAATTTCTCGATTACTGATATTTTCACTATTTGTTCATTTGCTTCAGATCACCTTATTACCGCGGAAGATCACGAACTCGTTCGAGGACACCACCTCCGCGAAGGTCACCTAGGTACGATGAAAGACGCAGCCGCAGTAGGAGTTTGAGCAGGTTTTTTGTTTTTTTAATTCTCTAAAACATTGTATGGAAAGAAAATTCGCTGGGTATTTTTATCGCTTTTATGGACTCCTCTGTTTCAGGGATTGATGTGCTAAATATGTGAGGAGAAAAAAGAAAGGAGGTCTGGGAAATAGGAGGTGACATACGACACTTACATTTTTTGATTTACTAATTTTTTAAGTTCTAATTCATTGCCCAGTATTTCTATTTAATGTATTTATATGCTTCATTTATAAATACTATACTGGCGGTCTCTAAAACATGCATTAATTGTCTTTTATATTCATAGTTTCACATTCTTTGTTTAATTAGTTTCCAGTCGGATGAATTTAAATTATTATCTGTTAAAACAATGCATTTTTGTTATTTTTCGACTGATTCATACAATTTCATTTAGTTTTGTGGTACTTTTTATATGTTGTTGCTTTGATAAAAATCTGATGCTTCATTAAATAAAACCATTATTTGCAACATCTGAACAAGAAGTTATTTTTCTGTGGTTGGAATATTGATATTGTTACTGGCACATTGTTGCTGGAATTAATTGTTTCGTGATTGAAAAAAAGGGATTTAAAAACAGTAGAAAATGAATAAAATCAAAAAAAAAAGTCCTGTCAATATCAAGGTCTCTAGCTTATCATCCTGCGTATAAGTGCTACTGACGTTTGTAGCTCGGGTTGTTCAAGGGGTGTGGGTCTGGAAAATAAAATTGTTCAGAGACGGAGAGGTGGGGTGGAGGGCGTTGACTTTCGCGCTAAATTTTAAATCTTATTGCGGCCTGAGGATATAAATCAGAAATAAGCCATTAACAAATTATCGACAGACCAATTCAAATGTCAACAATAAATTTAAATTATTTAAATCGAAAAGCTGTCCAACGAGAAGGGGGGGGCCCGACTTCAGTTTTTTGCTTTCACCATTCGATTATGGCAAATAATAAGAGTGCAAGTTCTCAGACTGGAGGCTCTAATTTCTGGGTAGTTCAAGGAGGATTGGGGACGCGATCATCTTATCCTAAAGGGGACGATCAGTTCCAATCCTTTTAATGACAGGATGGCCCACACCCGCTTTAAAGACAAACTTTGCCGTAACTTTGCTTATCAATTTTTATGAGGATAAGTGCATATAACATATGCATTTCCAAAAACGTAGTGGAAGATTGGGATATGCACTTGGGACTATCTCAATATCTTCTTACATCGACAAGTATGGCATTAAGATCCTGTATGCGAGTTTAGAGTATTTTCTTCATTTTGTTGAGGAGCATGGATTTTTGTATGCTTTCAGCATTTGCAGAAGTGCAGAAGACGTCGTGGATGACTGCATTTTCGTCATTGTCATTGAAGAGCTCTACTAGATAGGCGCTCTTATTGCGAAACCGGCAACAGTCACAGAACGAAACATGTTATGGTCAGAGCTAAAATCTGAATAAAAATAACGTACACATCAAAGCCCTAAAACTTTTGCCCACTATGATTTAAAAGATTCGGCGGCACTTGGCTCATTTCACGCTGAGACATATTGAAACACCTAAAAAACATCAGTTGCAGCTATGGAATGGTCGATGAGTATTGGTCTCAGTTGAAATTTCGCCTCAAGAAATTGTCTCAGATTATTCACTCTAGATTATTTAGCTCTGAATGCGAAGACAGCAGCTCGAATAGGAGATTATCGGAAATGATTCTGCTTTCTTCACAAAGTAGTTCGAGGGAATGTCAGCAAAATGATCCGAGATAAGGACAGAAATCTTGTTAGTACCAAAGATCAACTAAGATGGACTATCCAAGATCATGGAGATGGTTGGAAATCATTTGTAATCACACGGTTGCAACTGCGAACGGCAAATCAAGCATGAATTGATAAAGCCCATAAAACTACTAGATAAGATGACTTTTGAACCCTTCAAATAATTGCTGCACAAGCGTGAGATTACTCTCTCTCACAACTTTCAGTCATCGCTTGCCAGAATTCCAGAGGTCTACAGATCAAAATATAGTATCGTTGACTTCGCTGAGGAATTCCAACAGACGTTAGACTGGGTGTCGACAACAATAATGGAAATCGGCCTTCAAATCACTGGAAGTTGGACGAAACTGTTTTCGACTTATATACCAGTCGATAACGTAATTTATCAACGGTCGAAAAAATTCCAGACTTTAAGTATCTCTCTCTCTCTCATAAACGACCGAATTCGCATCTATGTGGCTGTAGTACGCATAATCCTAGTATACGGCTGCGAAATTCGGCCAATAAGAGGAAGGAAAATACCAGGAATTATATTTGTCTTTTACCATTCTTCTCTAAAGTGCATTTTAAGTACTCATAAGGTATCTCACATGGTTACATTCATCCTTCTCTCCAATACGATCTGCATTAAAATTAGCGCTGCATGCGCTAGTTGCTGTTCTTCGTCGTCTAGCACAGGAGTTGGTGTGCATTTCGCTACTCACGAAACCGTGTGAGGAATGGCGTGAAAAGCAAGATCGGCATAATTGGCTACGATTTTGAACCACAGACGTCCATAGAGCGATTCATGGACTTAGATGGTGGAAAAGGAAATGCTTCAGATATAATTTAATTTTTCATTGGCTTCGATTTAATTTTTAGTGCGGCCAGCCAAATCAGTAGTTTTGCGAGCTGTTTGGAAGAAAGAAAGAATGTTTGGTTTAATTCGCGTTTGGCTCTCTTTCGATTAGTGTTACTTTATAAGGACAACCAGCAGCAATATGGTTTCATTTTCTGTTTCGCTGTGCGAAGCAAGTCGAATCATTAAAAACGAAATATGGGTGGCACTATTGAACGAATTGTTCTTCCATTTTCAAATTGGAGCTCTTTCAGCCGAATTGTTCGCTGATTAAATTAAATTGGAAATGCGATTATAAAGAAGAAAAATAAATTCGTAAGTAAACTAGAAAAAAATGGATTTTTTTCAGAGAAATTTTACAAATAATTTGCGAAATGGTTTTTTGAGGGGGAATTATTGCCAATAAATTTGCTATAAAATGCCGCTTATCATCTCCTATTTGTCGTTTTCACTGGTCGACGTCCTTCGAAAATCGAACGAAAAAATTTCGCGGAACAACGAAATCGGAGAAATGCCAACCGTTGGCATAGTGCCAATTAGTCTGCGAAAGATATAAATGTTAAACCACAATTGTTATGCACTTTCTCAGAGGAAATTTGTTTAAATAAATCGATAATTTCGCATCATTTTTTTTAGAAAAAAGCAAAAATTCTTTTGAAATTTGGAATTTCATTAAATAATTTTCATTAAAAAATAAAATGAAATTCTCAATTCAAGTAGGAATTTTCTGATGTTTTAATGCAATATTGAAGAGCGATTTATCGCATTTTATTTGGCGGGGGCTCGGATAACCGAGTCGCGTGCCGTTCCCACTAAAATCCAACAAAATTGCATGCAATGCTAGCTGATCGGCGATGTCGGTTTACAAATGAAATTCGGCTGAGATCCAATTGCGTGCGCTCAATTAACTCTGCGAACAAGCGCCCCATTCTCGTTGTTAAATAGCAAATGGCAAATGAGCCGTCGAACAAAATGGAAAATTCTGAGTACTATTAAATGAAAAACTTTTTTAGTCTGAAAATATCTATTTTATGCGGAAAAATCGAATACTGTTTCTAAATTATTTTAAAAAAGCCAATGGAATTTTTAAAAAACAATTGGAAATACGTTTTATGCGAAATTTCTTTGG